TACAGTCTGAACTTGGCACGAACCTGTGTGTGGTGACATTAATTTGGCTGATCATTTGTTAGTTTACTTCAGTTCGTTGAGGTATTAAATAACTATGAGATATCATGTCACATGTTTAGTCTACGCATTACATCAACTTTACTCAACCGATCAAACCAAACAGTAGTTCTGAGTTGGTTATCTGTATTCGGTAAACATGATAAACTGTGCTACATTTGATTGATTCCTAGCGTCCATTGTTTCACAGCTGCGCTTCATTTTTGTTTCTATTCTCTTCGTATAACTGTATACATTAACGCCAGGTAAATCATATGTTTGCTCATAACAGTAGGATTCGAATCATTCGGTTAAGCCAGATATTTGCGGTTCAGCTATAATAATTACTTTGTTCTTTCACTTGTACACTTGATATCGTTCAGTACTTCAAACAAGATGGACCGATAAGAGTTTAAGGCTTTTAAATTTGCTAATTTTACTAACTACTTAAATTCAATTAAATAGTATAATAATAAACAACTAATTATCTATCCGTTGTTTCCACTGTTCACATTTATGCAATCTTCATTTTCTATACCATTGTTTTGATTGTTGGTTACATATTCTATTACAAGAATTTAAATAAAACACTTGTGTAACCATTCTAGCCGATAATGACGATGATGATGATACAGACAAAAAAGTTGTAAATATCCACAAGATTCTTTGATATGATTTTCAAAATTCGTCATTAAGAAAGAGAGTATCGATTACAAAGTGCAATGTTGAAAGTATACACGCTGTTTATTTGCTTAGAATGGAGAATTGCTAAACATTATTTTATATTAAGGGCTAATTTGAAATTGACTTTTCACGAAAAAGTACACTTTTCAATATGTAATTCAAGTAATAGATTTCACTGAAAAATTTACAGTTTTTAGTATTACTGTGTTGACAAAAATAGTAGTTTTGTGGAACTGCTAAGAAATGAGAGTTAGGCTCATGGATTTTTTTTGTATTTTCGTGCCAAAAATATGTATTTGATTATTGACAAAATAACTAAAAATTAAATCGTGTATTTGATAAAGAAAAAAAAGTATTATTCATGCGTTCATCTATTTTTATCTCCATGATTTACTGTGTAATACATTAACTTGTAACCTATTTATAAGTAACTCAATGAACAATACAAAGGTATGAATATTCATCAAAGTTACTGAACGAATGGAATAATTGTACAACTTTATCTGTTACCCTATACAATTCAACAATAAATCAACAATATAAAGCTGTCCTCAATACATAAATTGAACAATTAATTACTGATCATTTTTATTTTAATAATAATCTATTCCATTTTAATTGGTAATAACAAAATCGATAGAATATAAAAAACCTCAATTGGTAATTAATTTCGACATAACAAAAAAACGCACAATGTTCACCTTGTTAACCCATTAAAATTCAACTATTTATCTCGTTTTCATTGTTAGAATGTGAAAGTATTGAAAGGAAAAATGTTTAGTTTTGCAGAATCATAGATGCAGTTTGACGAAAATCGATAGTTCGATTCACAATGATTAACCGGTCTGTAGGTTAGATGTTAGTTCAGAACAAGTTTGATCATAATAATAGTGACCAGTTTACTCAATATTATAAATTTAGTACAATTTGAGGTTCTCAGAACACAAGTTCTTTTTTTATCTTTTAGAGACATCACAAATGTATATATAAATAGATATTTCAAATAAAACTTTGAATATTTAACATATTGAAGTACATGAAGACTTGCTTCATTGACCCATATCGTCATATAATCATTGCCTCTGAGTATCGTCGCAGCATATAGTTTGACTAAATACATAGTACTTAAAGTTCAAACTGCCACTAACCATTAGTTTGAATAAATTGAAATTGCAATTCATTCGTAACTATGGTTTCAGTGAAGTACTGTTTAAAAATCAGGTCGATAAAGGCGTAGGCTTTAGTCATACTTTTGTTTCTTTTTAATTTTCTCTCTTATTTACCATTACTCATGAGTGTGTGTGTGTGCTTTTCTTAATGACTCATCATCCGGTTTACTTTTTTTTTTGCAAAATACACATTGTCTAGCCTTTATTGTCTTTGTCTAATTTTGTGATAGCCAATGTGAACACTTAACAAGTTGTCTAAATATTGACATACATAGATTGTATTATTATTTTTTTTGCAGGATTCTAAACACAATCAGTCTAATGTTGCATAGACTGTTCATGAATGTCTGTGAAGTAGCTTTGTGAATTATTAAGTAATAAATACATAAACCAAATAATTTGTGCCATTGTTCCTTTGGATAACTCCAATTTTATTTATCTTCAAATTTTCCATAATTAATTACACTTAATATTGTCATGATGATGATGATGATGATGATGTTTTTTTTCTCAATATTAAATTTTGAAAATATTTCTTTTTTAGGCTGATAAATATGAAAATCGAAGAGATAAAAATAATTTATACCCAATTGCATTATCTTGTATCACAGGTCTTGTTCATGCTTATTCTCTACAGGTTAGTGAGATGTCATTTAATCACTTCTATTGGTTTAGATTACTTATTTTCAAAATCAGTAGTTGGATATACTTTTTAATGATTATATTATTCATCGTCCTTTGAAATTATGAAATATATCACTAGTCCTTTATCATCATGTTCTCCTTTATCTATGATCTCTATTTTTTTTGATGTGTATAAGTGATCACAATAATTTATTTTCCCTTTTTCTCTTCTCCAAGTAGGTGCTAACACTGACAATAATTCAAATGTTTTGTAAAAATAAATTGTAATCTATACTATTCGAAAATGTCTGTGTTACTGATAAATAACTCAAGTGTTTCTCATCTATACATAAATCCACGTGTATGTATGTATAATATTTATACTTCGACCTCCTAGTAATACATTCGTCTGCTGAAACGTCTTCGCTTTTAAATTTTGTAATCTTTCCCCCACCCCCCACTAAATGATCAATTTAGTCAACATAAATATTTTGGAAATGCTACTAAATCATTATTTTCATCATGATAATAAATAGATTTCAATCAGTAACTTAACAATCTCCACAACCCCATCATGCAATGACCTGTGGTCAATAGTGACCAGCTCCGTGAGAAATCCTCTCCGAGTTCTAGTAAGAAGTTGTGGCCAGTGGAGTTCAACCCTCTTCGGACGTAGACAGTAATTACCGAAGACAGTGTATGAGGTTGTGCAAGACCGTGAATTGATCGAAGTTAAACATTAACAGCGTTGGGTGCCGGCTCAGTGGTCCGGAGGTTAGGCGTTCGCGCACAAGATCGAAAGTCCTGGGTTTAATCCAGTAAGGTGCAGGAGTCGTGAATGCGCACTGCTGATGAGTCCCATACGAGGACAAAACGGCCATCCATTGCTTCCAGGTTTCTAATGGTGGTCTGACATTGATCGATTCATGATTTCAATGAGTAACTTAACAATGTTCTCAACCCCATAATGAGATTAGTTCTTGCCCAGTGTTTCCCGCGAGTTTGAACTTCAGCTGTTTGAAATGTAACTGTTTGATTCTGTTGTTAGTAGATTTGGAGTTACTTGGTTCATTGCCCAACGGTAATAGCACACACAAAGCCATCTATTCTCTGTACTCCCCTAGATCTTTAGTTTGAGTATTATTTAATATGTTTTCTCTATTACTCTCTTCTCTGAATGTTATTTTAGACCAATGAGAAATTTCAGCTGGAAGATTTCACAGTAATCTTGTTAGGAGGTTTTGGACTTTCTTCACCTAACGAACATCAACTGCCAACAATCCCTTCTCATATTATTGCTGATTACATGATTGAAAGTTTTAAAACAGCTCAAACTAATGCCTTATTATCGTCTATTTTATTCAACTATGCAATTCCACGTTTATGTGTTCCACTTTTGTTAAATTCTTGTACAAATTCTAATGATCACTCAGACAATAGTACAAAGGAAACAAAACTTAACATTGATGAAGTAAGTTTTTATTTAAATGATCAATTTTATTATTTTGATCATGTATAATTTACATTTGTTATATGTTTAAAAAAATAGTCATATTCAGTCAGTCATTTGCAATGTAAAACTTGGTATATATGCATATCAATTCAAGTTACCGCACTATCACAACATCAGCACAACAAAATGAAATAATGTTCAGTGGTATTCATTAAGAGGATTTCAGTAATTCTGTTCATTTTATCATGCTAAATTCCAAATACTTAACTTACTTATGTTGGTTGTTCAAATCTGTCCGTTAATGTTATGGACTGTATTTGATCAATCCTTTTTGGTATGTGCGTGTAAACATCAACACAACTGCTGGTAAATCCAGCTAACTAGTCCGAATATAGGACAAAATGTGCGTTTCCTGGTTTCCACTGCTAGTTATTATTCAACTTCTTTTCTGCTCTTCATCATTAGTTATAATAACAAACAGAATAGTCGGTCAGTCAATAATCAGTGTAGAACCCAGCACAAATCCGCATTAGGGTAAGTTGTCATACCAAATTAGAACAACAGAGTATACTGTAAAAAGGCGGATATAATGCAGTAGTAATTTCATCGAAAAAGGTTAATTACTGAGAAAATGATTTGAGAAATAAATATGAAAAGTTATGTGTATGGAAGAATATCGGGACTAAAGATCTAAAGAGAGATACAGTGTAAATACACTAGCAATGTAAACAATTTCAACTCATGATTTCGAACATTTTCAACAGGTCTCTAAAACCAACGCTAATCTACCTTCCTTCTTAGGTTCCTCAAGAAACACCCACGGCGTGGGCAACCGGGAAGTGACATCCGCCCTCATAGCCGTAACAGTACACGATACCAAATCGGTCACAATCAAATCCTTCACACGAACCCTAACATGTCTCTTATCTTCACGACTAACCCTTCTCACATTCCTTTATCACACTGCACCGCTAATTCAAACGGTTCGAGCTCACGAAACGTTATTCCTGGTCTCTTCAAACCGCGCACAAAATTACATATTGGAGCTTTTAATGTTCGAACCTTGTGCCAAATAAGGCAACTGGCTTCCTTAGCTAGGACTCTAGAATCCCATGCTATCGGTGTATGCTGCATCTCCGAAACGTGCTTACAGGATGCTGGTAAAATCATTAATTTGATCTCACCTTGTCCAGATAAAGAATCAACTAGCTTCACGCTTCGTGTATCTGGAATCCCTGGTACTGCTTCCCGTGGCCTCGCTGGTTTAGGTATAGCACTGAATCCTAGGGCAGAATTAACTTTCTTATACTGGATCCCAATAAGTAGTCGCTTATGCGCTGTCCGATTAAACGCGACAGTAAGGACTCAGAAAGATAGGGATACTCTCCGTTGCCTGTTTGTTATCTCTGCCTACACTCCCACTGACCGCAGTTCAGTTTGTTTCGTTGAAATACACTTACTTCCAGTCCTTATCTTGTTCACAACCACAAACAAAACTGATCTGATACTAGCTTGTACAAATCTTTTGGAATTAAATGATGATGTTTTATGTATTATTTTTATTTCTAGCAACTGCATATGTTATGCAGGATTATTTATACCAAAGTTTGATGGACTTTTTTCTGGCTTGTATACTTTCGTTCAATCTATATATCGATGTATATATTTTGGTTTACTTTTCCGTAACAAGGTCACTATAAGTCTGGTGGGAATTAATAACATTTTTTACCTAACTAAATGTCAAAGTATTGTCATTATTTCGTGTTGGAATGCAGTCTTTGTACAAAAATATTTACACTAATATTACTTACTGAATAAAATTCACAATTATGTTGTCACGTTCTGAGTTTTATTATTATGGAGTGATCTCCATTGAATTTACAATTCGATGGAATATTTCAGTGCACTTTTTTGATATCGATCGGTAGTTGTATAATTGAAGACTGTCACTGTTTTTATCAATTACATAGTAATCACTCTTTAAATAGTTCTATACAATATTGCTTCACATGAGTTCGAATATCATTTGAAACATTACGTCCCTCAAGGATACTCAGATACTCCGATTGTTTCCAACCACAGAGTATAGATGCCTATTGACACTTTTATGCACTAAGCTACTAAATTCTCAAATCCGACTTCCATGAGCAGTGAATAAGACTAGTTCTATCATTTTGTAATTTGTATATACTGCATATTTGAATTTTCCCTTCGATGTTTTAGGATTGTGCTTGAGACAATCGGGGCAATCCTCATATGATGCATATATGTCAAAGAGCGACTCATCAATTGCATTCCTAAAACATCAATGAGAATATATATATATATATATATATATATATATATATATATATATATATATATGAATTGTAAACTCACTTCATTGCACAAGCCAATGTCTATCTAGTTTCAGTAGCTAAGTGAATAACACGGTGGCGTACGGTACTTGGTTTGAGTCCATGAGTGAAAAATAATTCTGCGATGCAGGTGCATCTATCGTGCGTCCTGGATTCCACTGCTAGCCACTTTCCATCTCTTCCTCTAAATCAAATGCTTTTATATTCAGAATTAACAATTATTGTATTTTATTTAGAACTACTGTTATCGGCAAGTTTAATTGTTAGTTGAAGGGTTTAAAATTTTATTTCTGGAATTTCGATTGCTTACTAACCAATCAGTGGTTTAATCAAGTTTCTTTTTGTAAACATGCTAGAATCAAAAATGGTTGATTATCGGATTTATGTCCTAAATTATATATTGTAATTGTAAAGTGTCACATATGATTACATTAGATAAATGTGTATTGATTTTTGCTAAATATATCTAACATTCAATTCTAATTTTTTTTTCAAAATTGCAGTAGAAATTTATAGGTATAAAATAGCGAAGCAATAACTCAATTCGTTTGAAATCTTCGTTTATAAAACATAGAATATTGATTGTTTTGTTAACTAAAATATTTATGCACATATTATTGACAAACCACCTTCGAGCTGGATTCTCCCGAAATTCTGTCGATAAATTGTAGCTTGTTAAGTCAAGAGCACAATGACAAACAACTTATCGAGGTTGAGGATCACAGTTTGATTGAAATTAAGAATATTAACGAATAAGTTTAAAATTCTTAATTCATCACAAAGGCTAACGGCCCACAATGCGTTTCTGTGTTCGGGATTGAGTAACATATCCTAAAACGTTATACTAGGATAAAATAAGTTATTTGTAAAGATTTTTGTATGCCCGGTTGTTATTTATTCAGAACTAAGATTTTTTACTGTCTTCATTGGTATATCTACATCCTGAGGCCCCAATAGTACCCTTCTAAATACACTGAAATGAAATATTACTCGAATGATTGCTAATTCTTAGTGGTCTTTCATTTGACAATGCCAGTTCGGGAAGGAAATCAATTTAGAACTGTACATAATCTCTCGAATTCCAATTAACTGTCCTATCGTTATTATCTAATACTATTTTTAACCATTTTGATAATTAAAACTAAAATGTCTATTTGTCAAGTCTCATTCATCTTACTGTAATAACACTTACTTGATGCTGCTATTGTCTCTCTATTCCTTTTTTTTATGAATTGAAATCACAAGAATTAATTTCACCATATCATCCATTGAATGTATTTGTTCAATATGGTATCGTTTTTTTTAATGACAAAAAATTCAAATATATGTTCATGTCTTCTTTTTTTCTTCTCTTTCTTCCCTGGATATTTTTTTTATATTCATTCATAGTTAGTTAATTGGCAATCGTATATTTGTTTGTTGGATAAAATTTTCCAAACTATTACTGAAGAAAATTTAATTAATGGTAATTTAACAGATTGATTTTTGTTTAGCTTAAATTGTTGTTGCATTGATTAGCTGTTTAAACGAAATTTTATTTTCTTCATATAGGGTTATGGAGATTGATGAGTTTCATTGAAGTCACGAATTGATCATTGTTTGACTACCATGAGAAACTTGAATGCACTAGACAACCGTTTTGTCTTAGTACGTGACTCATCAGCAGTGCTCATTCGTGACTTTCTGTCAGGCATCTAGAAGTTAAACGTTCACACGCGAGACCGATGATCATGGGTTCGATTGTCGATTGCGGAGTCATGGATGTGCACTATTGATGAGTAGGGTGCCAGGACGAAACAGCTGTCCAGTGCTTCTAGGTTTCTAACGGTGATCTAACAATGATTGATTCATGATTTATATGAATACTTTTGAGATTTTTTTCCCAATTAATTATCAATTAACTATCCTAAGTTATAATCTACACTTCCAATTAGTGTAATTGATTGAATGCAAAAATCAATACAGTTAGACGTAATTCAATGATTGTTCATTTTAAAAATCAATTCAAGCAATAAAACTATGCTATTTTTTTATCATCATACATGAATCATAATGACTACAACACAAAAAACATTAACAACAAATATAGTCAGTCAGTTTTTTGTGTTATCGTTTTCCACTTAAATCTACTTCAAACTCATTTTACATGTATGAACTATTAATTCAGGCTAAACAATTATAAAAGCTTATGTTAGTTCGAGTTAATGTAATTCACGTCAAAACAATTAAATAAAATTAAATTGCAGTTTCAAATTTTGGTACATAAATATCAAATGGAAAAAAATAACCCATTAAAACTAATAAATGAAAATTATTGAAATAATTATGTTCAATAATTGCAGAAAAGCAAGGAATACATGCATTTGCTATCGATCAACATCTATTATCTTTCCGACCCATAACAAAAACCTTGCATATCGCAACACGAATCAGAAAAAAACAGTCGATGACTTGAGGAATTATTACGAAGTCTTCGTCGGTTCACTCTCAACCTTTTTAAATCTACTTTTATATTCTAGTTGGCATTATGTGTTGGTGTAGTTGGTAGCTAGTCTTACGTTGTATAACACACGTCCAAACTACGTCAATATTATCTACAAACTAATTATCTCTGGCTAAAAAATCATTCGCTATCTGAATGGGAAATGCTTCTTGTAGTATCTGAATAATAAAAAGTCGAAACCAAATTATTACAATAGTTTATTTTAATCATAGCTTAAATTAAATGACCAAGAAGTACACAATAAGAGAAACAAATTAATGATTATGAGTTTTAATAAGCGAATATGTAAGTAATGCAAATGGTCAAACGTGAATAAAAGGAATAAATAAAATTGTTTGTCTCTTTTTCTTCATTTTATACAATGTACTGATATCACTATATTTTTTCTTCAATCTCTGCCTTCATACAATTTATTTTAGCTTTGTATTATGACAAACAAACAGTTAAAACATTGAACACTTTAAAATTGAACACGTATTCAATGATCAATAAGTTACAAGAATGTTTATCTAATTCAATGAATTTATTGACACATTCTTCGACGTCAATATTATCCGATGAGAAATACATATACTTTACAATATGCCTTTGTCGTTTATTTTATTCATTAATAAAATTTACAAATGCTAAAGATCTATCTTTATCTATGCATGAAAATTCAATCATTTCATCCGATAACACTTTATCATTGTATACAAGTTCTGTAGATTCAATTTTCAATATAATCTGTGCAATAATTCAATGGTTGGATAAAATTTCCTTAATAAATAATAATGAATTGTTAAATTATGAAGTTTCAAAATCGGTAAGGTATGTTCAACAAGCAGAATTTGTTCAACTATCATTCAACATTTTATTTTTATATTTTACATCATTCATTGGTCTTGGTTATATGACTATGGAAAATCAAGAGGCACCTACATCGATTTTATCCTAGTTTGAGACCCTTTAGCAGTACGCGTTAACAATTTCACCGGAATTCGAATTGATAAACAATTAAGCTGGTATCTAAAAATACTTTTAATGCAGTTTTACATACTTGTCAAAATTTATCAATGCATTCAGTCTAGCTACTGAGCTTGCTATTCCATCATTGTACTTAACTGTTTTACTGTGGTTAACGGTAAGTTATGTTAAATCTCTACTTTGCTAGTACAGGTTCAAATCTATACAACCAAAATCTTGCATCTTGTCTCCGCCTTGGCTGTGTTACCCCCACTTTTATAAAGCCTTAGGACATCTATTAATCAGGCTAACAAGGAGACACAAAAGTTTAGTATTCCATTCCAGTAAACATATTTCATGTCTGCTCTTGCATTACCGTTTTTGTTCAGTGTCATTAAATTAGTTTTCGTGAGTTGTCTTGATTTTTTTCTTTTTGTTTGTTTCACTCATAAAAAATTGTATTTAAGGTCAATCATTCTGACATTGATTCACCTTTATTTTATTGTGCCTTTATTTCTACTCCTATCTGTAGAGATGAACTACTTTCATTCATTCCGATTATTTATGAATCATGCGATTTATTTATTGGCAAGTTGGATCAATTTCTTTTCGACTATCTCAAAAGTAAGTTTAATTTTCATGCGTGTTTCTTGTCTGTTGTCAACGGTATTAAATAAAATCACTTGTAAGTATCGATATCAAAGTTGGGTTTGATAGTTCTAAATAGATTGATCATTGTGTGGAAAGTCAATAATAATAATAATAATAATAATAATAATAATAATAATAATAATCATAATCTTTTCAATGTCGTAATTTCAAAATCTGCTTTACTCTAATTTGTGTTATTGATTTTCATCACATAAACAAAATGTACGATGCATAATTGGGTTTTACATAATCCAGTAAATTGCGGCATTTCTATTAGATAAAATACATGACTCGAAAGCGTTAGAGTAATATTGTACATGGAATAAATGTTTATTTTAAAAAAAAAATCAGACTGTACTAGTTTCTATTAATTCTTCAACTGATATCACTCCATACATTTCTTTCTAGCTTATCACCAGAAACTAACTTGTTCCTGAAATTTTACGGAGAATTTACGACCGACGAAGCTCATTAATGTTGGTAGGGGAACAATTATCATCAATAACACTAGAAAACTATCACGTTATATGAAACAAAAAACTAAATGATGCCGGCCCAGTGGTCCAATGGTTAGGCGTTCGCGCACAATACCGAAGGTCCCGGGTTCGAATCCTGCGAGGTGCAGGAGTCGTGGATACGCACTGCTGATGATTCTCATACCAGGACGAAACGGCCGTCCAGTGCTTCTAGGTTTCTAATGGTGGTCTAACAATGATTGATTAATGATTTCAAATGTGAAAGAAGTTGAATTGTATTGGGACACAGTAGTTCAGTGGCTAGACGCTTTGAGTAACCTCTGAAAGTTCAATGGCTAATGAAGTCGTTAGTATATATGCTTTTAGGAAATTCCATACCAGGGTACAACAACTGTCCACTACCCCTTAGTTTTAATTTTAGGCTTATTGAATTCGCTATGTGATAAACACAACGTAAGGGTAGAACTTCTACTAGGAGACTCGTTTACTGACGTGGAATATACCGATTGCATAATTCTATTTGGTGAAGACGCTGACAAAATGCAGCGTCTCCTGACTGACCGAAGCAACAATGCAAGTATATTCGGGATGCGATTCTCCCCATCGAAATGCAAAATGTTGCTTCAAGATTGGCTTGCGACGGCACCTGAACTAGTGATAGGGAGTGATGCAGTCGAACGTGTAGACCGCTTCACTTATCTTGGGAGGTCTCATCAGTGTTGATGGCCTGGTGACTAACGAAATCTCAGCACGGATACAGAAGTTCCACGCTGTAACTGACTGACTGACTGAAATACAACATAAAGATTATGAATTCATTCATTTGTTGACAATATTGATATGTGACTTCAAGTTTTCACCGTTCATTTTCGTTTACCTTTCTTTTTTAAAAAAAAATACTAGATTGTCAAATGAATCAAATTACATTGTATGCATCAAACAGTTTTACAATGGATATTCTGAAATATTGTTCATGTAAAAATTTAAGCTTATTGCAGAAAACCATTGATTTCATTCTTGAAAAGTGTAATAATAATCATGATAACAACAATAATGTTGTTATACCATTGGATTCTGAAGATGTTCACCATGTCAATTTTCAATATTGGGGTAGGATTAATTGTTTTGTTTTTCTGAATCAAATCTATTCTAACTCATTTCAAAATTTTAAATATTTAGTTAGTATTCTTATATATATATTGTTAAGTTTTAAAAAATTATAAAAACTTTTTCAACTTTCCACGATTCCCATTTTAAACTCTATGAACATAAGCTTCATCTTGTTAGGGAGAAGAAGTAAATAATTTTGATAAAATTAGCATTTAGATTACTGATTAATCGGTGAAATACTATGATAATATATCATCATATAACAACTACTCATATCATAATTTTATTTATCCGATCGGTGCTTTGGTTATTATTATTCATTTAGTAACAGTTTGTTTCTATTTCTTATCTCGTCAGTATTGTTCACAACTTCACACCTTCCCTTTTCCTTATTTTTATAATTCCATCTTTAAGACAAAAAGTACTAATCAGTCTTGATTATCATACTAAGTATGTTCTTTTTCTTATTGTTTCCTATATTGATTCAAACTAAACCTCATTGATTATGGTATATCATCAAACATTTTCACTATAATATGCTGAATATACAGTTGACGTACGATTAATCAACCAATCAGATATTCGATTAGACGTATATTTCATTTTTGATCTAAAGATATCCTTTAATTCAACAGAACTCTGATACAGCCTACTCATCATCAACTTTCAGCGACGCTTTTTGTCTTGATGCTTTACTCTGGCCAACATTACAGTTATTCAGATAACCATTAGAAACCTGGAAGCACTGGACGGCCGGTTCGTCCTGGTATGGGACTCATCAGAAGTGCGCATCCACGACTCATGCACCTCGCAGGACTCGAACCCAGGACCTTCAGTCCTGCGCGCAAACGCCTAACCTCTGAGGTATCTTCGAGTTCTAGTGGGAAGTTGTGACCAGTGAAGTTCAAGCTGTTTAGATGTAGACAGTAACTACCGAAGACAGTGTACGAGGTTGCGCAAGACCGTGAATTGATCGGAGTTAAACAATAACACCGTTAGATAACGTCTCAGTGATTCAAAGGTTAGGCGTTCGCGCGCAATACCAAAGGTCGTTGGTTTGAATGCTGCAAGGTACAGGAGTCGTGAGTGCGCACTGCTGATGAGTCCCATACCAGGAAAAAACGGCCGTCCAGTGCTTCCAGGTTTCTAATGGTGGTCTAACATTGATCGATTCATGATTTCAAGGAGTAACTTAACAATCTTCACAACCCCGTAATGCAATGCATTTTCTATCTGTTAGGGTGTTGATGCATTCAATTTCGAAAAATCCTGTAAAACAATAAAACAATATTTCATAATATTCTCTAATGTGTAACATTTTGTCTAGACATTGAATATTGTCAATCAATGAATGTCATTTTACTTTCATTTGTCTCTACTATTTTTTTTTAATTTTCAGCTGAGAACTTCACTTCATTATTGTATTTTGTCTGTGAATCTTTGATTAAAAATTCTATCAGTAATAATAATAATAATAATAATAAAATCATCAATTCATCTTCCATTCATTCATATTTATTTGAATTATGTCAAAATGTAAAATATTTCATCAGTATTATCAATTGTTACACTACTATCAATTCCATCAACATTAATCATCGTCAAGTTGAATTTATATCGAATGAAATCAATAAATTGAATTTTATCTTTCGAATTATCACAAGTCAATGCAATTCTTTGTAAGTTCATTTGTGTTGTTTATATAGTAGCTATCTCTCTCTATCTCTCTCTGTCTATCCTTTATTTTCAATACTCTCACTTAATCTGTTCCCAATATTAAATGTGTATATACGTGATGATGATTCATTTATTGAACCAACTATATGTTTGTTTGTTTGTTGTTCAATTTTTTTTTACATTGGCTTAAATTTATCCATACAATTTGTCAATAATTCTTTTCATGTTTAAAGTAGAAAAAAGAAGTCTACATACCTCAGGTGAAAATATTATTGACCAATCAGTATTCATTGTAAATTATTCACATAACATTCCTCACTAGGGATTATCTGATTGGTCAATTCAAAAACTAGTCACTAAATTTTTACATTTATTTTGGTGTATTTTAAAAATTTCAAAGTTATTTAATTTAACTTTTAATCTACGTACATTATTATCTGTGCTTGTATAATCATTAGCTCTTCATTTGTTTAATAAGATGATATTATAGAAGACAGTGGTGATATCAACTAGATCAATGCTGATAATCAAATGAAGAGCTTTTCATATCTTTTATTCAGTACAGATGTATTCTGCTGACAGTTGAATATATTACATCCTCACCATCGGTTCCGAGTCAAGATTAGGTTTAGAATAAATTTTTTGTTTCTTTCAAAGAATGTATGATAAAAGATAGTTTAAGTCATATCGATTAGCCACAAAGATCCACTCCTTGTGATGATGATTCTTGTGGCCCAGAACCTAATGACATGTTGAAGTTACAGACTCCTTGATGCCTTTCCAGTTGTTCTCCATCATAGTTTCCTCTTCATTGATATTAGAACGTGAAAGGCTTGGAACCTAATAATGAGGGCCATTTGGAATTCGTAGAGTTTGCCAGTATCTGGAAGAAAGTCCGTTTTAAACTTTTGTGATGATGTTTGACCAGTTGATCAGTGCTTCTTGAGTTCTAGTTTCATCTTGGCCACTACCAAGTGATGATCTGAAGCTATGTCAGCCCTTCTCTCAGTCCCCATTCCGAACTTTTTATTGATGCGGATGTTGTCAGTCTGGTTCTGTGTAGTCTGATCCAGTGAAACCTATGTTCCTTTGTGTATGTGTATGTGTGATAATAAGAGGCCCATAGATTTGCGGATTTCTCACCGTTTCAGTTCCTCTCTCTCAGTCCATATCGTCTCACGATGTCTTCATATCCGGTGTTGTCCAATTCAATTTCGGCATTTGGGTCTCCCATCAGAATGGTCGAATCCTTTACTGAGCATTTCTACACGATTGACTGCAGCCTTTCATAGAATTAATATGTATCGTCCTCAATTTTATCATCGGTGAGCGCATAGCACTGAACAATATTCATCTTTATCCCCTCTTTCTCAGTCTTAAAGGGATGCTTTGACGATCCTGGATCCCTGAGATTCCCATATTATAAGTGCTTGATGGGCTTCCTTGTACAGCATTGGTGCTACTGTCTGTGTGTATGTAAGGCATTTATTTTTCATTACCGAGAAACAACATAATCTCTCCTGAAGCTACTATTTTTTGTCCAGCCTGCGTCTAATGTGTTTCGCTTATTCAAAGAACTACCAGGTTGTATCGTTGACTTCTGTAGCAACTTGAATTGTTCTTTCGGTTTCTCACATTGTTCGAACACTCCATGTACCTACATTATTGGCTTTTTTGGTTATCAGAAGGACCGTCGACTTCATGACTTCCGAAGACACTCGCTCTGATCATGAGACGCCATAACCTTTGTAAATAAAGACCTCCCAACTCCCAGTGTAGGGTTTAATTTGGTTCTAATCTTTTTTCCTGTTTTGCGTTCTTTGGCAAGTTTGTTGTCTACAAGATGGAGTTGCTAACCTCACGTTCAACTTCCTCCTTTATTCAGGCTTGCTACATGTAGCAACCCTAAATGGGTAGCAGGCAGCGTTGAACGAAGATCATATATAGTATCATGTGTAAATACGGGGTCATAAATGTAAAAGTAGTCGAACTTTTAGGAACCATTCTTCAGTGTATTATAATATTTATTACTATTCAGTGGTATAATAATTTAAATATTTAATATACAATATTATTCTATATTATCCTTTATTGTATGTTCTCATCCGATTGTATTAACTGTTGATAAATATATTGTATTTTTGATAAATAATACCTAATTGTTGATTATTTATTCACTTGTTACTTCGTTTTTATCACAAATCAATGATCTAGTTATATGCATAAATTATGACTTCCTATTTATGGTAGGTATTTTATATAATATGACTTGATCGAATCATAAAAATATGAGATATTCAGTCGTGAGACATAGAAATTTGTATCAGTTTGTAAATAGTCAAATATTCTATCATTGTTAGTTCATTAAATGTCTTCACCATCATTGATGTAGAGTGAATTAGTAGTTTTCGTGATCTTTAATGATTGAACATACAATTCTTATACTGTTCACTAACTTGAACAAATTTCAATTTCAACTAAAGATCTGTGTAACTAATAGAGTTGTTTACTTAACTTTGAATTAATTCCTCTTTTCTATAGTCTACAACTGCTTAATTAACAGAATTGTTCATTTTAATTTGATTGTATGAGTTTTATCCTTCAATAAAACAATTGGTTTAATTAATTCATAAAATACACTAAAACAAAAATTTGTTTTTAAATCTGATTTAACTAGAAATTTGTATCAATTAGAGAAAAAATTATACATAACATTTGCTAACAGATGTATTATTGTGGAAGTTTTTCTGTCGATCAAGAATAAAATAAAAGCTGAAGTTTCACAGTGAAATAAAAGGAGAAATAATTTGTTCATTCATTTATTCTATTCAATCCTACATTTAATTCTAGTGTATGTATCCTCAAAGTCAGAAAAAAAAAATCAATAAATCCTTATTGTGAACTAATAATGTCTAAATGTTATTCAACTTGCTTGCCTCTTTTTTATTTCTACTCGAATATTTAATTAGAATCTAACCCATTTTTGTCTGCATTTATTTTACAAATTAAGGTTAAGAAGTATATTTTTGAAAGAGAGAAAATAAAAGTAGAAATAAATCGATTGTAATGAAATGAGATGAATGAATTTTAAATATTTAAAATTTTTTTTGTTTTTTTTAAATAATTTTGTTTTCAAATGTCAATTAATCAATTATCGACAATATAGAAACTTGGCATGAACTCACACTGACACACCTCAAATAAGAAAGAAAAATTTTTATATATATTTGGGTTATCAATAGTAACGGTAGTAAAAAAAAATTGAATATTTTAATAATATTTAAAAAAATGTATGTAAATAAATAGAAAAGAATTTTTAGAAAAAAATTTGGAATCATCATGGTTAAACTCAAAGTGTTCTGTAGATGATGACAAATAAAAATGTGAATACATGTACACATCACTGTCACCAATAATTATAAATCTTATCATCTAAGGATCTCTAAACAATAAACTACATCAACTTTATGAACGGCAAGCAATGATCTGCTGACTTTGATAATAAATAGCGTGTAAAAAAAAAGTTATTGGCTATTCTGACCTCTTTAAATCTTCATATCTTTTATCTCATTAGCATAGCATGTGTTTAGCGCTGGTTATTGACATGCTTCAACTGTCTCAGTCAATGAAAATTCATAATTTCATATAGAATGGATAAGATGTGGCTAGAAGTATCTGGGAAGCGCATTTTTTTCCCATTCGGGATTCGACAGCTCAACGTACCTAGATCCAAGAGTCGATGTTTACTCCGGGACTCGAACCCAGCACCGTTCGCTTCAAACTTCATCGCGTTACCCGCTTAGCTACTGAGTCCGTATAGTCGCTCACTTATGCAACGAGTATGAGATTTGTTTGAATTTGAGATGGTTCGGATTATCCTGTTGTTAATATTTTGACTGAAACTTGATCAGTCATTCATTGTATATACACTTGTGTCATAATATTGAAGCGACTGGCTTACGATGCCTATATGGCCACAAAAACTGGTCAAAGACCAGTCAAAATAACAACAATCTGAACCATTTTAAATTGAATTAAATTCAAAACTTCATTATTCAGTTTATTTTATTTACCTAGTACCGTAAGCTTAATCCCAACACTATTCACTATTTCTATCATATTTAAATGATGGATCAGTGATACTTTTAATACAAATTATAAATAACTTTATCTCATTTGCACCATTCGAAATTACGTTTATCATCATAAAATAGTACAAAAGAATGTTTTCTGCTTCATAGTCGGACAGGCATCGCGCCTTTTCTGTAAATAAAAAAAGTCATCAGAGACTAAACAAATTTCGCAAGACTAATTTCATCTCAAACCGACGCTCTAGGTGTGATGAAACACATTTGATCAATGTAAATGATGCTGTATTAGGAGGCCAAATTCATCTGGTTATAGTCAGGAGGACTTATTTTTTATAAGTTATCACCTGTTTTTACACATCTATAGAAGTATTTCTTCTTTAATTATCCATAATGGATATGCGCATAATGGTTTTTGTTTAATTGGGCTTATCCGCAACATTTTCAATGTTCAATAAATCTTTTGCATTCATCACTGTTGGATAGCTTCTTTCACTCATTCATTACGTAAGCACTGCATATTAAAAAGTAATTTTTGTTGGGGAATTTTTTAATCTGTAACCTTTAACAAATTTGTGCTTTTCACTGAGCATATTGAGCTCTAGATTCTTGAAATATAAAGGTTAGTGAAAATCACATTCCAATATCCAGTCTTATCTACTAAATTAACTGAAAGTACTAAGTACAGCGCACTTACTAACAATTCAAACGTTGCAGCTAAACTTAGATTTTATTTTTCTACTTATCAATCTGTTTATTCATTTTTTCTTGTTATCTTTTTTTTAGTGAACAAACAAAACTTTTTCATATTTATAAACATTATTTTGATGAAGCGGATCATGATTATTTCAAGGTTAGTTAGTTAACAAATTTTATAAATGTACTTGCAGCTTTCAAATATTCAATGTTACTTTTTCAGCTTCATGACTTACTGCTTGTTTCAATCTCACACACCGAATCTGAAATATTTTAACAGAACATTTTATCAAAGTTTACACTGCTGACACAATTTTTCCGTCAAACATATGAGAGGACAAAATACACTTTGATTATGTATCAGTAGTATGAAAAGACAGGAAACAGAAAACTGAAACATATATGCTAGAGATTTTTAATGATAAAGCTAAGTAAACTCATAATTACTTACACTTGTTACCCCTTATGAAGCATAGGCCGCCGACGAGGACCGTCCTTTTCACTTTTCCTAACTACTATTCATTCTTTCAGTGTCTGTCTCCAATTCACTGCATAATGTGTTCTTTTGTCTACCTCTTTCCCTCCGACCTTGAGCATATCAAGTTAGGGCCTGCCTTGTGATGGAATTGAGTGCTTTCCACAATGTGTTCTATCCAGCACTTTCTCCTGATTTCTTCCTCAGCTGAAGTCTGGTTTGTTCTATCCCAGAGTGCTGATGGTGTCTGGCCATCGGATTCTCAGTATCTTACATCAATAACTATCAATCGACACCTGTATCATTTTGATGATGGTTCCTTACAGTAAAACTATTTTGAATTTTTTATTGAAAATGGTGACTTCAGTACTAGTTGACAGTTGTTTCGAGTTCCAGATGTTCTTCACTCGTAGAAATGATGCCCCTGTTTTGCTAATGTATTCCTTCACAGCAGCTTCAAATCCACCTTGTTTAACAATGTTACTGTCCGGTTGCATAAACGTTTCCACCTCTCCCAGAACCTCACCATCAAGGGATTCAGTTGGCCCTGGTTGTGCTGTATTTAAAGATCTTGCTTTGTCCCTTGTGTATGTTGAGGCCTGCTGTCTCAGAAGTTTCTTCTACACTGGCCGTCTTCATCTGCATTTGTGACTGTATGTGGGAGAGAAGAGAGAGGTGATCTCCAATGTCCAAATCATCTAGCTGCATCGAAGCTGTCTTCTGTATCCCTTGCTTCCCTTGAGATTTCGAGGTCTTCTCCACCTGGAAATCTTCTCGGGTTACTACAAGTTCCAAGCTCGGACAAAGGAAGACGGTTGGACATTGGTTTAGCAATCCCATCCCACAGAAAACAAATTTATTCAAAAAGCGCTAGCCAGAATTCTTACATATAGTGAATGAAAAACCATTATTATGTCAGTCAGTCAGTCAGTCACAACATGGAACTTCGTACATGAGTACATAAGTTCTGGTTGTCATACCGCATCAGAACAGAGACGCAACTGTCAGTTCAAATCCAACAGTGGTACAGATAGTAGAAGTATTAGCAGTAATGCAGAAGATTAGGGTTCGAAGATATGATTCAGTGAGATAACTTTAGAAAGAGGAAGTTAAAGGTGATCAGGAATTCAGAAGGTTAGGACTTGAGAGAACACAAAGAATAAATGCACCGGCGCCATTGCTAACGCTTTTCAGTCATATCATTCACGGTCTCTAACCGTCGATTATTATCATCTCGCGGGCCCTAACCAGGTACCCTACATCTATCAACATGCCTCAGACCACTTGTCAGTGATTTCATGGATTTCTGCCGTGTTTTGGTTTGGATGCCCCTGACTTTCTTCCGACCTGGTCCTACACCACAAAACACTGCTCGTCGAGGCAGTCGGCGGTCGGGCATACGTAACACATGTCCCAACCACCTCAACTGATGGAGTTTCGCCACTTCATCAATTGATCTGCCATCCCTGCCTAGTACTCGTTTCCTAACGACAGTATTGCTTCTTCGGTTGTCCCAAGATATACCAGCAATGCTTCGAAGACATCTCTAACTGAATACTAATAACCTACGAATGTCCTCTTCTCTTACCATCATTACTTACTTTTGTTTTATTCTGGGAAATAATAGAACAGTTATAAAAATTACCTTTGATTTCAATACAGTGATGGTTTTTGTCGATTAGGCGAATCGTAGAGTTGAACACTACTCTATAAAGCTTTTTGTTGAGCCAATCTTTTCAACAAGAACTTGAACGTTTTACCTAATTTTTTTCATGATTTGACATCAAACAGCGTAGTAAAGAAAAGCCCAAAAAGCACCGAATAGTTGTTTAAACTAATAATCAGTACAAATTATTCTGCTTACAAGTGATTAAACCTAAACTTCTGAGTGAATTGAAACTTCTTTTTTTCTCAATTATTCGTGAAATACTAACAATAACACAGTTTTTTATTCATTTCATCAAAAATACTTTTCTCTACCGATTTGTTCTTATTACGTCGCCAATTTTGTTGTTTCTTAAACAAATTAACATGAATTCCAGTTTACATTCATCAACTTTTAACTTACTATGATCTTGAATTCAATAGTAACAACGAGAATAGTTATTGTTGAAATCTGAAATTTGATTTGTATTCAAAATAAATTATTGTATTGTATTTATACTTTTTGATTGAAAATAGATCAATTGTATTGTCATTAATTTTCTTTCAGAAATATCCTCTAAGTTTGGGATTGTTTACAATTCTATGTGGGATTATTGGTGGACTAAGACCTGAGGTAAATTATTTATTGTTAATTTAATTTTTAAATCATTTCGATTATTGTATTGTGTTCATGTTTTGACTGGGATTTTGACTAGTCCATCAGTTGGTGTATGTTCATCCTGTTCGGATTGCCTTGATATGTAGTCACTGGGACATATGAGTAAATAAAATGTTACTAGCAATGGAATCAATCCAAAATGCGAATTTCGTCTTATTCGGCGCTTTTCAAATATATCTGTTTGCAACCTAGAGTTGATGTTCTGTTTGGGACTCAAACTGGACCGAAATTGACCAGATTCTAGCCATTAAAAATCAAATAAAAAATTCATGCCCATTGCAGAATTAATAGCTGTCTGAGCTCATTAGCTAAGTAGATAACGTGTTGGCGTTTCAGTTGAATGATACTTGTTTCCAGTTACGATAATAAATATCAACTCTTGGATACAGATAAGTACCACTGACTAATCTCAGTGTACTCTATTCGCACAATTTATTTTATTATTGTATTTCGTCATTTTATCATGAATTTTGTTGTCTCTTTCTGAAATGATTTAAAAAATAAACACATTATTTTGAATACACTTCTACGAATGTGATAGTTCATATTTTTGACATCTGTTTTATTTATGTTAGGGATCCTCAGAACTCACTTGGAAAAGTTCCTAATTTTGGATTTTTCGTGTTTTCGCGCATAGGCTGCTCAGTTGACCTTGAGATCACATTTCCCACTCGGAAAATCCTTGACTGTCATTAGTTGATCTATTATTTTAGTAAGCTGTTTTGTGGCTCTCCTTAGGATGTTGCTATCATTGCATAAATAAGCTTGATTTGTGTGCTTAGCAACCTCGTATTTTCTGGGTTCTCTTAGAATGCACTTTCTACACCATATCAAGACTTCTTACAATAGTTAGCAGGGCCGAGGACGATCGAATCAAAATAGCCTATCGCGTCACTGTATCATTGATTTGCTCTCGTTTACCGAATAAGGTGAACTCGTAATAGTTTCATGCATATCAATTTCTGTATGAATTTATTACTATAGAACCCGCTACCGAATATTCTTTGTTGCTTTTCCATACTCTATAGGGATCTTTAAATTTGTTGGTTTCACCTACAAAAACCTTGTAAATAGGTTCACCTTTTATAAATAGTTAAGTTTTATCATCTTGAAAACAGTTGCGCGATTGAGTTACTACTAAAAGAACAATCTAATCACTTCATTAAACTATTCCATCGGTACTAGCCATGGCCCAGCATCTACAAGAAGCATAACTAACTTAAGCTGATAACTGAGATTTACTCGAAATTTCTAATTCACCGGCAATATGTATATAATGTATGATTCATCTTTCTTTTTTATCTGTAAAATTTAGTGTGTAAATTCTGAAAATCCAATTCAGCTGTTAGTTTTCATGATGAACAATATTAAAAAGATTCTTTGTGCATCATCTTCTGCTGTCATCACAACCACCAACACCACTAACACTAATACTAATTCTCTATCTGTTGTATCTTATTGTTCAACAACTGTCTTATCATCAATCGTTCAAACCTATGCTTCCGTACTGAATAAATCAAATGATACTTTTGCATCAGGTAAATTGTTCTTTGAAATGTTTAGCTACATGTTTTTTTTGAAATGGGAAAATAGTCACTGATTGTTTAATGTTTTTCAACTGGGAAAATTTTTTTTTCTCACTTGGTGACAGTTTAACGTGTACAAATTGTATTTGTGATAAACATAGTATTGTCATTTGTAATGTTTCTACAGTTTTATGATTGCCTAATGTAAAGGATTACAGTGTTTATGTCGGATGCAAAAAAAAACTATTGATTGCATAGATTGACAGAGAATCTAGATTAGATTAAAGTATATTCCATGTAGAATTACATGCTGACCAATCCAATTTTAACCAGTTAGTGCTAGCGAATCAATGTAGTTAGTTTTTGATTGTTGTTTTTTTCATTGAGATGATTATTGGTACAGAGAAGCAACCTGGACACCCAAGTCGAAGAAACTAGTTTTCTTAGGGTGCCACTCTCCGAGCTTTTGACCTACAGGTCTAATCCACAATTCAGTTGAGCAACGTCAGAAGATAAACTATTTCGGCATATTAGGTAGCTCAATAAATCAAACTAATTTTCTCTACTGACCAATTGTTTTCAAGATTTTTTTTATAGAACTTCCCTGTTTTTTTTCACTGATGGTTTAAAACACTCCATTTTCAAACAATGGGTTACAGGTTCGAACCCCTTCCTGTCTATTACGGTTTAAGCCCTGTCATTAGCGCCCACATACCAAAACGCTTATGCCTCAAAACCACTGCAATATATAATTGTATTTGATAAATGAGTTATATCATAATTATTAGTTTTATTATGACAATAAATCGTATGTTCTATGCATCAAGTGTTCATCGTCTCCACTTGGGTAATACTAATATTGTCTTATTCTATAAACCTCTATAAATTTTTATTAATTTTAGCGAAAACATAAAATATTCAGCAAAGAAAATGATCTTTTCATTACTATCACGTACTAGCGCTGTACAATCGTAAACTATAGTTAATTTTGCATAGAAACATTTCTCTTTATCATGATTAACCATAAATTACAATTGTATAGTTTATTGTTTTGTTTTAGTAAACAAAAATTTTTTTCGCGGAACATTTGACTTTTTTTTATTTCAGCTACAATGACATAATAATGAACTAGATACTTTAAGTCTCATTAAAATTTCCTTGTATCATTTTTTCCCCTTGCTTCTTTATACACAGACATAACTGAACATTTATCTACAAGTTTAAACTATTTCTGGTCAATCATAGAACAGAATCATTCGATCGATTGGCATAAATTGATTTGTTTATGGATTATATGGTCAATGCGTGGTCTATTGTCTGCATTCCATATTCATACTCCTGCAATGGCTAACAGTGACAGTCATAATGATTATTCTCATCATAAACAGTGGTGTGATTATCTTTTGCAATCAATTCTTCTTAAATTCGACACAACTCATACAGATGCTATTGACAATGATGATGATTGGATTTGTACTTTTCAAAAAACATTCCTATCATCATCATCATCATCACATGAACGAATTCTATGTTCAATCAATTGTTTTAAACAAGCTGATCAAATACTTTTAGATTCAATGCTAAATTCCATTCATTGTTGTTTACATAGTTTTAATCATTGTCGTCTAACAGATTCATATATTCAAAATGTGTTACAATGTATTTATGAACCTATTTATAATCAAATTGATTTTTTGATCAATAGAACTAAATCTTTTAACTTAATAGATTTTGAAAAAAATATCTTATTCAAATGTTTTCGAAGTAAGCCGGTTTAGATATTATCTTGTTTGATGTATATATATAAGCAGGCGCGATTGTCAATTTTCAATTGACGTTATAGTTTTGTCTTTTGAGTATTTTAACAGTTTGATAGGGAAATGGTGTCGTATATTGTTTCAGCATTGTTCATTTTACTTAATTGTGAATATTGTACAGTTGAAACAACATGGTACCGAGTAACAGAACAGAAAAGAATCATTTCATCAAAATATAAACGAATGGAAATCAAATTTCGTAGGAGAATAATATAATATAATAATATATAAGGATTCATCTTACTTTAATGTAGAATATCATTCATAAACAGAGTGCCATAATAGACTAATGAGTTCCATCTAGTTTTAAACAATTAACTTATGTAACACATCAGCATGTTATACATTAACCACTAATCCATGGTTAGAAAATGACAAGGGATAAGAAAGCTTCTAGGATTATATTCAGTAAACATCATCAGGCCACTAAGGCGCTACCATTACAAGATGTTGACACAAGAGGAATTATCATTATTGGATCGGACCAAATATTTCTGAACCTTACTTATACAGTGATGTCGGTACTGAATACAGCCCATCCTTCACAGCACATATACCTCCTGAGAATCCCTTGATTGTAGGAGCCTTAGTTCTCAAGCATAATGTAGAACTATTCACACCTAATAGTTTACAGTGACAGCTACGAAAATGACAGGCAGAAACATGAAACAAAAGAATACTAATCGAAAAGCGAGTCGTCATAGGTTGATTGAAGTAGCAAAAATCGAAGTTGAAATCGAAGATATAAATTTAAAAAGAAAAAAACTATTTCATAAGTTCAATCAAGATACTTTCGTTTAAAGCAAATGATAATAAAATAATGCGTTTATTGTGGTGGTGTTTCCTTCTCTAAGCTGGATGTTTTGGTTGTGGAACTTTCGTCTAAATTATGTGCTGATAATGTTGTTCAGGCAAACAATGAAAGCTCTGTAACCAAAACATCCACCTGAGCTACAAATTTTCTCCACCATCTATATCTCATCATGCTTTTATATACTGTTACGATAGTGATTTTGAAATCTACCCAAAAATTCTTAAATATTTGTACATTTTTTCCTCACTTAAATTGATCAACTTTTAAACAACCATCATTAAGCATTGTTTACAACTAGTTTCTCTCTATCAATTTTTATTACACTAATTTGTTTGTTCGCTAATTTTGGACAAGTTTGATGTGTTTTTTTTTTCAACGAAACATATGACTATAAATATTGATAATAAATACTTAAGATGTGATTTTTAAAAAAATGTTCAAATGTTAGTTTTCAACCTGTTTTTCACTCGTTCATATCAATTCGACTGCAACTGGTCAGTCATAAACAACTTTGAACCTGATACAAATAATAATCTACTATTCGAGTCAATATATTTCATACTTTATACAATAGAAGAGATTACACTTACAAAATATGAAATGTTCACCAATGACTGATTTGTAATACGCTATTCCCGAGGTTTTAATGAGAAACCGTAACCAATGAACCCTAACCATAGAAAATGTAAGACAGTTGGTTGCTCATTATCTCGAAAAAAATGAGTTGAAGCATTTAGACCATTGGATATCTGTTTGGTTATCTAAAGATTAAGTATTCTTTACAAAACATGCAAGTGATAGGTTGTATCTTTCGATGAGCCTGTGGATTCGCTCCTCTGATGAGTGCTATACTGTTGTAATATATAAAAAGTCAAGACATCTATTTAGAGAAGACTCATAATCTTCAGATATCCATATGCAAGCAAGTTATTGACTGTCTTTTCTCACATCTCTTCTGGTCTTCAATATACTTTGATCGCCACCCATTTTGATCTCCAGACACTCTTTTCTGTGGCAGTGATGCCTCGCCGCATACTATTTATAAGCCAGTTTGTGAGTAGCATCCACTACACTAAGACAAAATGGCTGTTCAGTAGTTCCTATTTTCGAATGGTCGTGTAACCTAGATCAATCTGTAATGTAATATAGAATATTGTCAGAAAAAGATAAATACTACTGAGTAATAATAATGATTCTGTTTTCTTCCTCATTTCACTTTGTTCATGTTATTAGACTCAATCATTAGGCTTTATCTGAATATGACTGTTCGATTGCCGAACGAATATCTCACTGATCAGTTAGTAAATAAAGTAAGCATGTTTTTAGTTGTAATTGTTTGATTTACGATGATAAAATCTTTCTTTTTTTAAAACCATAAAACTCCACATAAGATTGGTTGCGGTGTCATGAATTCATATCATTTAAGCAACTGCATATTACTCCATAGTTGTCTCAGACTTGTTTAAGACTCTTTCTTAACTGTGCACATAAGACATCAGTCAGTACACAGCACAATTAGATTATAGAAAATAGGATGTTTTAAAACTCTTTATTTAAGCATAATGGATGGGAATTTCAACTTAACTCCATTCATAATATCATGAGTCAGTTAGCTGCAACGTAGAACTTAGTACATAAGTACATGTCATACCATATTAGTTCAAATCTCATAGTAGTACAGGTTGTACTCATACTTTCGTAAAATTCGTTCATTTTGATTACTAAAAATATAAACTGAACTAAGCATTGTAGAGTTAACCTGTGGCGTTAGACTTTCGTTATCTTCGATTTCCCGTATATCTCCGTCTTGATGATCGCTACGAGAGAACACGAGTCGTTGTCACAATTTTTTTGATTATTCAAATTATTTTTTGATCGATACAAATATCGGATTTAATTCAAATATGTATAGTCGATATTGACATCGAATTATTCAAACTGTTAATCGATACAGCTAGTCAAATAACTATATGTGTAGGTGGCAAGTAATGCCCAAGCGTACATGCGCATACAAGCTCAACAATGATAAAAGTACAAGATATATGTGAGGTACTACTACAAACCACTTCGCAAAAATGGGATACCATTAAAAAATTCTATTAATATGAGAATATGCTGGAGGAACAAATGTACCGTTCCCCTATAAAAAAAAGAAAATACCTGATAAAATATCAAACTCTAAACTATCATCAATGGTCTATTCGTAGAATAGTTGACATAGTAGTTCTTTACATAACTTCTCAACATATTACCTTCTTATATTACTTTATAAACAATGATACATTTCTTTCTAATTGCCTACGCATTTGCTAATTTATAGTCTCATGTTGGTATTGTCAATAATAGGTTTAATGTTAATTAATTAAATGTTTGTGTATACCTTTTCTATAAACTATCAGATTAATTTCTTCATTTTTTTTTATATATTCTCACATAGATTATACCACTTGCTTTGTTTGCTATCACCTCATGTTCAGATATTCATTGTCAATTAGCTGGTTTAAAATTGATATCAATAATTCTCAATGAGAATTTTATAAAAAACTCTAAATTATACAATATTATGTCAGAAAATCAAATTAGTGATCTATTGGAAAAATTGCCAAAACTAATTGATTTTGTCATTAATGATGATGAGGTTTGTTCTGGTTGTTTTTCCTAAATCAGTATATTTTTCTTTTAATGCAGTTTTAATCTTGTTGTAAGTGAAATAAATTTCCACAGAACCTGTCTACCTATAATTTAAATATAAGAACAATTCGGTTTTGTTGGAAAAATGAGCTTTTCAATGATGATCTCTTTTTTGTCTGTATGGAATTGTGCAGATCATTGATCATTTATTAAAATCACAAATCATCATTGAAAATCTGAAAGCCCTGGACAGACATTTCATCCTAGTATGAGACTTCTCAGGGATGTGATACTGATGAGTCCCATACTTAAATCAAATGGCCGTTGAAAGCTTTTAATGATACTTTATGTTGAATATCTCGATTGAATGCCTAGTTTAGTTATATGAAATGTGAAATTATTGAGACTGTTGGTCATTTTAGTTATCTTTAAAATTTTCATCAATCGTTGAATGTCAATGATGGAGAAACACTTATCATCAATAAATAAAGTATGTTTCACCTTGTTCAACTCGTTCGGTCTGTCTCTCAAGTAAAATATATCTTACTAGCCATTAAATGGAAAATTCATTCTGTATTATTTTGTAGCTTTAAAACTAATTAGTCAACGATAGATGACATATGTACGCTGTAAATGTTCGATCATTTATATCTTAAAATCGTTGCCTATATATACCAGTATGATCAATTTTCACATAATTTTTGAGTTAGCTGTAAGATTTCAATTTAAGAAGCTCTGAATTGTGAATATTTTGAGAATTTGTAACTTGTTTTTTTTTGGTTTCCTATGAATATTCTATCTTTAGTTGAATGTTGTGAATTCATGAAATGAAAACTATTCTAATATTACTAATTTATTACTTTATAGCAATAAATGTTACATTACCGACTTCTTATTGAATAAATTCTATCAACTAATTTTGGTATAATATACATTTTCTGAATCTGATTGTGACTGATTTGGTCTCGTGTGTTGCTACGGGTATGAGGGTAGATGTCACTTCATGGCTGCCTACACCGTGAAAGGGTACTTCTTGAAGAACCTGAAAAGAAGGTAAATTAGCGTTGGTCTTAGAGACCTGAGAGCGTAACCGCAGAGTCCAAGGGACAACTGCTCGAGGCCGGTCACACACGGCCTTTTTATGGGTAGTATTTAAAGTGTTAGCTCCGTTCTTGTTTAAAAGGCCTTACCTCCGGAGACAGAAATCCGTGAAGTAAGGTGAGGTGTGACATTTTCGGGGTCGACCTTTTATAACCTCTTCATTACCTGTGAGAAGGAAGCATCGCTGTAGATGCTGGTTGTCCGAGGGAAACACCTTACTGCTGTCATACCCCTCTACAGATAGAAGTACTACTTCGCCCTCAGACCTTGAGTAGCAGCTTTTAGGCTCATCGTTCTCCGTTCGACCTACTTGGCATGGTAAAACCTACAGGAACACATGTTCCAACCAATATAGCCCGGTTGGGTCATCACAATCGGCAATCCCGATCACCACGTCAAGCTAGCAGCTACGGTGGGGTCCGAATCTGATACGTAAATGATCATTACTTTCAATGTTATACATTCACGAAATTTGACAATTGTTTACTTTCAAGCGATAAATTTCAATTTTTTAAAATTCTTCTCAATTATTTTTTATTTTTATCTGACAAGATCAACACTAATCTGTTATTAATTGATCAAGAAAATGAACAACATTGGATGAAAATGTCAACATATCTCCGTTTGTTTATTGCTCGTTGTTTATGCCGAATTGTAAAATTATTCCCGGAACCATTGATTAATCGTTATCGTGATGTAACAATTCTACCATTGTTAGATCAATTAGTTGATGATCCCAATCGATATGTACGCATGGAAGCTGTACAAGCAAGAAATTTATGGTTGATTTAATTGGGATTCATTCATCATTGTATATAAAAAAATCATGAATATTCTTGGGATAGCCAATCGAGAAGCCACCCACACACACACACATTGTGGATTGATGAACTTATCGATTAAATGCTTAAATATTTCAAGGGCAGTCGATTGATGAACTATTTGATTAATGTCCAAAATATTTTAAACGACAATATCGATTATATATATGTATAATTGTATAAATACGCATGTTTGATTGTATAAATTTTTTGATTCTGTTAATAAGTGTTCTCCGACGTCTTCCGTCTTCTCTTATTTTTTGAACGGTGGGAGTCTAACGTTCGTTGTTGTCATTTGTACAGTGGTTTGGCGTTACTCAAGTTAGAGAACATAAAAAATATGAAGTTGTATGATTAATTGACCATTTGGTAGTGACGTCAATAATGTATATATAGAAAAGAAATATATTTATTCTTTTTCTCATATGTATTTAATTTTCTTCGTATATAATAAATAGTTTCAAATGTTTGGCCTACATTGTCTTGGTCATTTAATAAAGTATAGTTGTTGACTTACAATAATTTGGTTTTTTTTTCTATCTTATCAATGAACTGTATTGAATTTTGAAATATTGAATAATATGCCTATATTGTATGGTCATTTAAACGCCCAATTCTGTCAAAACTGTGAAGTTGTTAAAGTGCATTGGTCATTCTAAACGGGTTTTTCTTTCTATTACGAATGAGGTTAGTTGACTGATTTATATCAATTAGATGTAGTATCGGGTACTTATTACTACTACTACTACTGTAGTGAAGGAGAACACAGGTGAGGGCAACGGAATTGTATTTATCTCAAATTACAAAGTTAATTGGTAAAATAGGAAAACCATATCGTAAATCGTTAATTTGCAAAATATCAATCCATCATATCGAACTGGACTGTTCCTGTTGCAAAACATCAATCCATTGTCTGACATTTCACTGTTCATGCGTTTCATACAAATCCCATTGCGTTCCCGCTCTTCCTTTCTTGATCTTCCCCCATCTTCTACTGCCAGACATTACGTTTTTACTCGCGTTATATACTACTTATAAGCAGCGTGCACCACACTACTAAATTGGATAACACACAAATAACAATATGAAGACAGTAGAGAGATAATTATTGGAATACAATAATTTCTTTTCAAAATGATAAACAGTCAAATATGTATATACATTGAAATGAATAGTAGTTGACCTAATTTCTGAACATATAGTGACAATATCTCAAGGTCAATCATTCATAACCAAGAGGTATAATTAATTTAGTATATTATATATACAATGACACCTTAAGACAATTGAAAAGAGAAATCAATTTTGTACGTCAATTTGCACTTTAATTAGTTAAGTTCTGCTCATCATAATAGACACACTATGTTTTCGACATGATAGAAGACGGGAATAAATTAGGAGTTTATGCGAAACTTGAAGTAAAACAACTCTGTACATAATAAACCACGATTTTGGGGAACAGTAAAATTAACAAAAACCACTCAAATGATCGTAAATAGCGGTCTGAAAATATAAATTTAGTAAGTGTTAACATGCTTATACTTACAGGAAATAACTAACATCTATTCACCAAATTATTTTTAGTCTTCTTAGGAAAAAAATTACAAATAACATATTCTCTATTCCCCTTTTGGGCATTTTATAGTTTAAAATTCACTGAAAGTTAATATAGTATAGTTACTATAATATATAACTAAAGTCTAAATTCATTTTTAATATTTAAATACGACTGTGGAGTTGTTGTAGTATGATTTAATTAACAATAACTTACTTGGTTTACTGATATTAGTTAGTAATTTTGTCGACTAAACACACTCACCATTGAATTGCTGCCATTCGACTTTATGTAACGGTATCTTTTTTTCAAATTACTCAATATTTCCAATTGAAATATATTTATATGTATATTCAATGCACATCTGACCGATTGTATCAATAAAATCATCTGTAAATGATTGAATTTTTCTCGCGATTCATAGGAGTATATAGAATTTGATTTCTATTGTTTCGGTAATAAAATGATCCGTTATCTATCTATATTGTCTAGTTCATATGTGTTATCAATATAGACTAAGTTTGTTTTGAAATACCTCTTCTTAATATTACAGGTTTATGTAACTGACTTTCAGCTACATTATGGATTTGAGTGTTAATTATAACATTACTAAATTACTTACTAGCTTGTACTAAATGCACAATGTTTTGCAGTGTAAGTGTAGATTGGAAGAAACCTAGGGTTGACCAAAGCAAAACGTGGCACAAATCCATCAAGTCACTGACACAACTGGATTGAGTCATGTTGGTAAACATAGACTACCTGATTGGGGTCTGCGAGATGATAGTAGTCGATGGTTAGAGACCTTGAGTGACAAGGCTCAAAACTGTTTGCAATAATGCCAATGGATCCATTCTTTGTGTTCTCTCAAATCCTAATCTTCTGAATTCCTCATGATCGCTTTTCTCTTTTTAACTGATTCCTCCGGGGTATGATCGATCATTTATCTTTTTGATTACTGCTAATCCTTTACTACCTCTACTACTATGGAATTTGAATGGACAAATGCGTTTTTATGTTGATGTGGTATGGCAGCTTGAACTGATGATGTACATGCGTACGAAGTTCTACCTTGTAGCTGACTAACTTACTGAACCAACGTTATAGCTCGTGCCATAAAATATATTCTGCAAGGTTTTTCTTAAGTTTTATACATGCTAATTATATCCACATCTATCCAGTATATATGTATCTTGTCCTGGACTGGATTAGTAGTGGTTCATGATTATTGGGAGTTTTCTAACTTATTTCCCATGTATTTTATCATTTCAACGGTAGCAAACGTAATGCAATACAAAAACACTGGATGCATACACTAAAACTCGAAAGGTTGGTTTCAGATGGTACAAATAGAAAATATCATGTCCTAGACTACACAAGCATCATAAAACAAACCCGTAAAGAAAAAATGCCTAGAGTGGATAAACCAAACCTTTAATAAAGTATGGGAAAGAACTAGAAAAGCGCTGGTCGAATAAGTCTATGTTAAGGAAAGCAATAAAGTAAACAACAAGATTAGAAAGGTCAAAGAACAGTTCACTCAAAACGTCACGGCCAAAATGGAGGAATTTTCCCGGAGAAGTCAGACTACATAAAAATAATTTTCTTAAACACGAAATTCCTCAACTTCGTAATGGTAGACTGGTTAACTAGATGTTATGTATACCCTACCACTGCATTCAATACACAACTCGACAATCCCATGACGACAGAAATCATTAACTGTTAAGCTGAGCTTCGTCGGTGGATGCAAACTACCTGATTAAACATTTATTTCCACGTTTGTACGAGATCGCTTAACATAAATACCTATTCATATACAGGTTTAAGTAATATTCAACGTTTTATTGAGAAAATTCATTCACACCTCATTTTGTTGTGTGTCACGTTGGACGTTTCAAACAATAACCGGTGAAAACTATGGAAGTTCAACTTAGAAGTGTTGCATATAAAGTGAAAGGTGGTCTTGAGGTTCAAGAAGCTGCAAGAGAAGACACTGATATTGAATCTGACATTGATGCAATCAGATATAAGAAGAGCAAGATGTTATTCTTTCAAATTATTTCTCTAGAAATCAGTCAGTCGGTGTTTTTCGGCTAATTTTTTGAACCTAACTGTAATGCTTGACAATTCTACACATACTTACCTCTTTGTTTATTAATAATAATTGTTTTACAATTAAACTCTGTCGTCAATACATTATGCATAGTTCATCATTAATGATTATATATGATGAGTGTAACCGACCAGTTAAGAAAATCAAGCAAAATAAGCAGCATTTCAGTATGTTTAATTTTTTTCAAAGATGAAAGCACTTGACAATTAATTGATTGAATACTTTTATGGAGAAGTTTGACAGGTAAATTATTTATTAGGTCATGGGCTTATGATAATAATAATAATAATAGTAATAATAATAATAATAATAATGTTAATTACGAATAATAAACAATTTACATTCTTCAGAATACAAAAAAAAACAAACAAACACTGGTAGCTCTACTCAGATTTTTTATTTGCAATGCGTGTCTGCTTTGTGATGCAATAAACAACTAGCCAGCAAAGAAAAAACAGAAAGAAAGAAGGAAGACTTGAATTTATCTCTCATGAAGAGAAGAAACAATTAACTATAGGAAGACAGTGTTCATTCAAGGTACACAAACACATACACACACACACACAACATACACATGTTATAAACAACTGTATGTATGTATGATATGACTTATTTATATATACGAAGCAATTATAGTTAGTTAGTTAATTCTGAATGCAGAAATAACAATGAGAGATCCAATATCATCATTACAATTATTCAAAAAAAAAAATTTTCTTCTGTATATTGATTGAATACAATGGAAGGAAGTGAAATAAAGTTAGATTTTATTCAAGCTAAATTACAATATTCTCTTATTCATTGGTATATAATGTGTGTGTGTGTGTGTTAATTTGTATTTTTGTATTGTACACATGAGACTAAAGACAAGTGTCATTTTTAGCCGCATATTAATATAATTCATGATGCATCTTATATCATAATAAAAAATGTACGTAGATAGATGATGTCGGTGATGGATACATACAAGATAAATAGTAATAACAACAAACATGTTAGACCTTGTCAATTGTCCAATCTCTTCTGTATGTCTCCGGTCATCATGATACATCTAGTCTAAATCCACTCAATCATTGCATGTATACAAATCATTAAGATTAAAAAAAAAGAGTACCTACCTACATGTGTGGAAAATCTAAAAATAAGAGCAAAATATGACATGACAGATAGTGATGATCATCTTATACAGATTCAAATTGATCTTTAAGAAAAGAAAATGATTGTTAGAAAAACCAACAAACAAACACACACATTAAAGACAGCAAATTTAATGTGTGAAAAATCATTTTATACTAAGAGAACAGAACTAATGTATATATATATTGTTGACAGTGACAGTGATAAGAGAAAATTCTCCATGAAATTAGTGTTATCACAGACAAAATAGTAAGGGAAAAAAAAGATTACAATTAGAGATGTACAGGTTTGGTAAAGATTAAAATATATATCTTAAAAATAAAATTGAGCATACTACTACGAAGATGATCATTAAAAGTTGTCAGAAGAAAATAATTCAAGAGTTGAGAACATGAAGAACATTTGCTAAACAATTGAGAAGAAAAAAAATTACATGAACGTGTATATGCCGTTTTGTACAAAAGGAGAAACAATTTAAAAAATGGAGCCCGCCTCAATTGTACACAAACATGTCTATCTATCTATCTATAAATATATATGTATATATATGAGTTGTCACTCGGTTGATAAGATTTCGATAAAATTCAAATAATGTGGTGATTGATTGATTGATTGATTAATCGCAGCTTCTTAACACAAATGTCACTTTTGTTTGTTTGCATCGATTCGAATTCCGCAACAATGACATTAAGTTGTGTATGTAGACGACCTAAGGTAAAAGGTAAGAGAAAATCATTAAATATTTTGTTGCAAAAAAAGGAATGAGCTTAAGGAAAAAAAACTGATTTGATATAATGTGGCAATTATTAAACAAAAATTAGTTTAAATTCTCTATATTAGAACTTCAAAAAACATGAAATTCAGTAAATGAGAACTGGGGTTTAGAGTGTATTGTCATAATAAACACGAAGACGAATTCAAAATTCGCGCCTTTTAAAATTACTATGTTAACAAAACAGAATGTCAAAAAAAGTAGAAGTGTTGCAATATACTTTCTGTGAACATAAATTTAAAAAGATTTTAGTCACCACGAGTAAGGTTACTCCGACCCTTAAGGTAAAAGGAAAGGAGGAAGGTCAAGGAACACATTACGCTGAGAAATGGAGAAAGACATGAGAAGAATAAACAAAAATTGGACAGAACTGGAAAAGGAAGCCTAAGACAGAGTAGGCTGGAAAACAGTAGTCGGAGGCCTATGCTCTGTTGGGGGTAACAGGAGTGAGTAAGTAATGGTAACTCCGCTTGGAGCCCTTCTAGGGTTACTGTTGGTCCCAAACACGGATGAAGGACGAGGGTTGGGTATGGGTTCTGCGACATCATCTTGTAGAAGTCCAACTCGCTAAAACAACGCTAGCCAGAAAAATAATTTACTGGTCGGCGGCCAATGGTCCACTAAGGGTAACAATTGTAACAGGATGCGCACTGCTGATGAGTCCCATTTCAGGACGAAACGGCCGTCCAGTGCTCCCAGGTTTCAAATGGTGGTCTAACAATGATTGATTGATGATTTCAATGTGCAACAAACACAAAACTCTAACTGAAAACATCGTAAGTAATTAACCAGTAAGCTATCTTTCTATCTTGATATTCAATCCAAAAAAGCATACAGTGTTTTGAATATCATGTTGACAAGCGTCAGAACAAGCAGTGTCCTCTAAACAATCTTTTTTTAAACTTTATAAAATCATTATATTAATTGGGAAAATAAACGGATAAACAAAATTTAATTAAAGTAATCAATGATTCAACAATTGACTCACTCACTCCCCAGCTCCAACAGTTGATTCCAATGTCATTAAATCACCATTGACTGATTCAAGTTTATTAGCTAATAATCCACACGATGTAACATTCTCTTTTCGATTGATTTTATCATTTTTATTTGTTAGTGAAATAGTTGATGCAGGAGTATTAGTTAAATTGTTATCACCATTATCATCGCAAATTTCTTCATCTCTTCGACCATGCTCCTCGTCCTCATCCTCCTCTTCTTCATCATCATCATCATCGTCATCATCAACTCCATCTTCTGGATTACCACCACCTTCAACATTGACTAACATTTCATAGGTTTCAGCTGCATAACGATCCCAATCAGATAATTCATTGAGACCTTCTTCAATATCCTTTTAATTCAATGAAAAGGAAATATTAGTCGAAAACAAAACTATGAATTTTTATTCATATTTTTAAAAAAATATCAATTTAGTGTTCCTTTTGTTCGATAACAAGGTGGTCACGTAATTCTATTATATATATATATATATATATATATATATATATATATATATATATATATATAACTGTTCTGAATAACAGCATAGTTAAAATGTCAGGACTAACTTTTTCCTCAATAATTTCTGGCCACATCTGAAAATAAATAAACATACATATATCCTTGCTTATGCATTTTATGTAAATGTAATCATCACTTATGATACACATACTACTTTAATTGCAAGTTGGAGTTAAGGTTCGAATTTGTAATTTATTAATAAGCAGTTAAACACTTTGCTTACCCTACACCATGAAACAATTTAAGCTACCTGAAATCACTTTCACACTAACACTGAATGAATGAATGAATGAATGGATGAGTACATCTGTACCGTCAAAATTACAGCAAACAAATTCGAACTATGCTGCCGAAAGTGTTTAACTACTAATTACAATTACACAACACAGAGCATTACCAGAAACTAGTAAACGTGATAACTTAATACAGATAATTCATTGGAACTATGAAAACATTTTTTTTACATGAAAAATAAAAATAATACACTATACACAGTATGATTAAGTAATAATTATTATATTGTAAAATTAATTACTGTTTATTTTATATTTTTTACAATAATAATAATAATTATTAAAAAAAAAAAGTTGCTTACACGTAAATTAGCAAATGGATCACGTTGTTCATGTTGTAAATATTTTGGCAAATTAAAGAATGTATCAAAGAATATATGACATAGACGACATTGTTTCATATCGGATAAACGAATTTTATTAGTTAACACTGGTTTCACCATATCTAAACATTGACATAAACAATCTTCAAATGATATCGGTTCAATGCCCATCTCTTCCATTCTGGCTAATTGTTCCGAATAGAAATATTCTAATTCATACATGGACAATAAACCATCTCCATCTAGATCCATACATCGAAACCAATATTCAATACTAGACAAAAAATAATTATTATCATGATGATGAATAAGTGAGAACAAACAAGATGGCAATTATTAACAACAACAATAAAAAAAAAACTTCCAATAGTCTATTTCGATTTTTTAAAAGTATGATTTCGATGATGATGTGTCAAAAGATTTTTAAAAGCATTCTCCTAATTTTAAACTTGAATAGTTTCAGTAAGCAAAGTCTATTGTAACAACAAAGTACAAAAACTGATCAACAATGTGAGATACCTATTTATATTGGTGTATTGAACATTCGGAAATTTTTTTTCTCTAAGAAACAATAACAATCCAAATTAGTAATTTTGGAAATACTCTTTACACAAAAATGAAAAACCAAATCCGTAACAACAACAACAACAACAACTCATCGTGTATTCATTCTTCTAATTCGAATTCATTATCAAATAATATGAGTATCTTTGTTGAAGCTTTTTTGTTGCTCTTTTTTTCAGAATAATTTTTCGTCTAAAATTGTTAGGATATTCATTAAATATCTTAAAAGAATTATTTTTGTAAGTCTAATTCTATTGGTCAATTCCTACTGGTCAATATTATGGTCGTCCTAACTATCAATGTTACATACTTCAATGTTGTTTTCTATTCGACCTAACTGTATAAATACGCATTATCTGTAATGTTTTATGACCCGGATCCCTGGTCTGGGATCCTGATTCTCTTCTGGACTTGGACCTCGTACTTTATGGATGTTTGTAGAATGCAGGTTCTACTGCATATCAAGTCTTCTTCTTCTTTTACTCAGTGGCAGTCTGGGACGTTCGGATTAGAGTAGCCAGGTCGTGTCGCCGGGTCCTCGCTCCAGTTTTCCGACTAAGGTAAAGTCGTAATAATCCAAGTATATCAAATGACGCGTTTACGTGCATGCGTAACAAATATACACCGATAATGATAATAATAATAACAAGTTATCTAAATAGACTTTGTCCTCCTTTTTCGAAACGAATAATAACAATTTTAAATTATCTAATAATGTGAACGTATTAGATTTGGTAGGAACCATTGAATTGTATAGTTCACACATCACGAATTATTCATAGTTCGATTTTCAACGAGAACCAAGAAGCACTGAATAACTATGTTACATCATCCTACCATGGAACACATTGGCAGTATGCATTCATGGCCTCTAAATCTTACTACCATCACTTAACCACTAAATTTTGAACGGCATGTCTCAAAAGCGTTTGCATCCACTCGTTGTGTTGTCTCAAATTCTAACCCTCTGAATCCCTCATCATCATATCTTTCTCTTTGTTAAGTTATCTCACTGAATTATTCTCCTTGAATCACATCTTCAAACCCTAATCTTCTCCATTACTACTAATACTTCTACAATCGCTACAACTATTTGATTTGAAGTGACAGTCGCGTCTCTGTGCTAATGTGGTATGTCAACCTGAACTTATGTACTCACGTACGAAGTTCTACGTTGAATCTGTCTATTCGTCTGTCTGTCTACCACTATATTTGATGGATTATATTTTTAACTTCAGAGAATTTGTGATATTGCACAACTACTTTGCAATGCTCATTCATGAAGAAACAGCCCCACACCACTCTCAACATTATTGCCCATGGGTTTGCACTAGAACTTTGAAATTTATCTTTTGAAATTGGTGACTGTCAAATAGATGGTAATTTACCGCTACTAATTAAAATTAATTGGTTTTCTTCATTGATTTTCATCAAACCAATTCATCATTGTCATCTAGTGACTTGTGATTTTTGTCAATTCTTCTAAAAACAAAAAATGATAGATTATTTATAAATATATGATTCTCACAACTCAATGGGTGGTACTATTTGACTACAATAAATAAATTTACTTTTATAGAAACCAATCAACAGGAGCGAAAGACAAATCACCTAAGCATTCAATGTGGTAACACTTGTCAGTGAGATAAAATCAATACAATAACATTCCTCTTTTAGTTAAACACTATTTGTATATAAATAAAAAAATAGGGCATGTGAAGTAGAAACAAAATTTTCATAATATTATAAAAATCAATTAATGTATTTTAAAGTAATACTTGATAGAAGTAATTATATTACCTTCGAGGATGATGCTTATCTTCTTCAGCTAATAGAAACCAAACAAAATCTGGATAAGTCATAACACCTTCTTTAAAAGCAGTACCTCTAAAACGCATCAGATATACAATTGTATGAAGCAAAAATAAAAATTTATGAAGTGTCAGAAAGTCGAATAAAATATAATCAAAATTTAGTATTATAAAAAATCGTTATCAGAAAAAAATCAAACTGACTCGAAAAAAAATGTATTTAACAGGTTTATATTTTTATTAGGGTAAACAAATAATTGTGGAACAAAGTTGTATACTGTACACTGGCACTGAAACTCTCAATCACGAAACCATATGATATGAACACAATCGATAAGTACATTCAATTGTTTATAGACTTTAAAGAACTGATTGGTAGATTGGTGTATTCATGAGAAAATGTACCCAAAGATAAACGTCTTACATAGTTAGTTATATGGAGCTTATACGTGATAACTCTGCCTGAAGCCCCTCTGAGGCCACTACTGCCGGTCTCAAGCTCGGATAAAGGAAGAAGGTTGGACATAGGGTTGGCGACCCAATCCCACAAAAAAACTAACTCCCTAAAATAAGCGTTAAGAACGCTCATACATCACGATATTACAATTGGGAGTCTATTTGTGTGATATTTCATACACTATTGTTAAAATATATCATTCTGAGATGATGTAGAAAATAGACATATCACATAAATAATTTTGTTGAAGCTGAATTCTTCCATCTATAGACAGTTTAACTATGTAGAGTATTCAATGTAGTTTTTAAACAACATCAATGTCTACTTTATGTAGAAGTGAGTTATTTCACAAGCATCATATTGATTTGTTCTAAATGACTTTTTCACGATTGATTATTCTTGTAGATTGGATGTGTTTTCACTTGTCTTGTCATTGATACAATTTACCTTGTAGATATTGCTTTATTGAAAACTGTATTAATTTTCAGTTAAAGACAATTATTAGATATACTCATGATAAGCCAAACAACAAATCAAGTATTCGCATTACTTTCATTATTTAACTGATCACCACAAGATATACAAGTCATGAATTCACTCACAGAAAGATTGATACAAAAAAAACCTGAGAAAAAGTATTACAACAATGTGTGCTAAACCATCTGTATCAATTAATTATCACTGAAATGCACTACACCGTATAGATTCTTTAAAAGATTAAACTAACTGTGAGCAACTGCTAAGTCAAGAGTTATAATGATGATGAAACCATCAGTGAGAACTATCCAGAAGGTGATTGCAACAAATTAAATGACAATAAAAAAACGGAAAGATCAATACAGAGAAAGCGTACCATGTAGAAATTTGTTAAACAAGAGATACATGTGTAAACGAGAAAATTGTACAATTTTCAATGATTATAAAAATATATTTCGTATTCATGAATTCATGATTCCATATGTATGATAAAATGGACATGAAACACTGATTAAAGCTGTGTTAATAGAGCCAGAGGGGAAAAAATTCAAAATATTTAAACGCTATTAAGTCGACTTTCATCAGTCCAATCATTTCAGTATTCTATAAAATAAGTTAAGACATTATAAAGGCATTGAGCTTCTAAAAATCCATTTTTGCAGGTAAATGATTATAACTAACTGAATGGAGTTTATGCGACAATCAAGATCAGTGTGGTTGAAGAAATTGGGTGACAATAGTACATTCATCTTCGTTTAAACATTGAGTTTTAGTACTCTCCTTCATACATAGACTTTCTTTCTACTCTCGTTTTGAATCTTATTGTCAATGTTCAATCATTACCATTATGAATGCTGCTGCTACACATTCGATCGATTTCTGTGCAATTTACCTTATTAAATTGATTTCATCATACGAATGTATCATAGCGAATTAGGTCAATGCACATTTTCGTCAATCTTTTTTGATTATCGCTAATACTTCTACTACCCCAAATACTATAAGATTTCAATTGACAATTCGATCTCTATGTGCTGTGGTATGGCAAGTTGTAACTGACTGACTGATAATCCACATTTTTACCAGGCTCTACGTTGATTATAATTGACTGATAGTGAACATCTCCATCTTTAATATTCAGAATTATTTTAACTTAACAGTTCACTTTCAAACGATCACATAAAAAATGAAAATAGTCAGATAGTACAAAAAGCAATTGAAGATGTTAGTTAATGGGCAATAGTTTCAAGTGCTTTGCTTCACGAAAATTTTGATGATATTCATGATTCTGTTGTATTTTAGTCAGTCAGTTACATCGTAGAACTTTGTAGGCACGTACGTACGTACATCAATTCACGTTGCCATACCACAATTAGCACAGAGACACCATTGTCACTTCAAATCTCATAGTAATGATATATGCTCTATTTTATTTTTGATCAGATCAGTTCTATTTACAAAAATTTAACGTAAATATATCAAATAAGGTATATGAATCGACAAACAGAATAATAATAAGGATAATAATAATAATAAAAGTTATTCGTAATAATTTATTTTTCTTCTCAAAAAATAGTTTACCTTGTTACAGCTCCACTGAATATACGATCTATCATACGTTCTGAGATAGCTGGAATAGATTGATAAATGCAATGAAAAGTAACAAATATTTAAACAAAAAAAATAAGGCTAACTATGAAAATAATTACAGCTGAGGAGTCCCATACGAGGACGAAACGGCCGTCCAGTGCTTCCAGGTTTCTAATGGTGGTCTAACATTGATCGATTCATGGTTTCAAAACAGTGTAACTTAACAATCTTCACAACCCCGCAATGCATATCAGCTCATCTATGGTCATTTGTTCGAAACAAAATACATACTAAATATACTAACTACTACTTTTGTATAGTTAACTCTTAATTCATCAATTTTATACAGTGCGTGGATTTCTAAAGTCAATTGGAATTCAAAAGATTTCAAAAAAAAGTAAACAACATATTTTCCACATTGTTTAAACTATTAGTATTCCATTATATTATTTCTGTTATATTATAAGTTAATAAAGCCATGATTTAGTTGGTTACCAAGTTCAACTTGCAGTCCTAGGATTGAACCCTGGCCCATATACTTTCGTCATTAACGAGCATACTTACAATATGGCTTCCAATATTTTATTACCTGATAAATAAGTGAAATATATATTTGTATGAATTTATGACAAACTCATTGGCTACAAATAAATTGAGTGTAGTAAAAATTAAACCTTTATTATATCAGTTATTAAAATTCTTTTAAAGGAGACAATGATCAACGCATACCAAATTATTATCATTGAAAAATTAAAGACAAGTTAAAATGAAAAGTACAATAATACTAGTTAGGTAGAGAGGCATTCGTGAACAATGCTATGCTTGAATAGAAGACTTTGTTATTACTATTATTATTATTATTATTATTATTATTATTATTATTATTAACCTTAGTAGAACAACACAGAAAACCAATAAAAGTACACACAAATCCACCCATAATTTATCATCATGAACGAACTTCAAGTTTGAAAATAATAAAAGTACTATAGTACTACTAGTTAGTAAAGAATGTTAATAATATCATATTAAGTAGGCCTAAAGGAACAAACTGATATCTAAAAAGTTTAAGAAAATTTTTATCTCCCATAATGAACAAATAAGTGTTTCATTTCTAACATGATAACTATCATTATTATTATTAAAAGATTTTGAAAAGTAAAATATTGGCTGATTATTGCATTTAACTTTCAAGTAACACAACTAGTCACTGATATTAAAAGTTTCAATACACATCTAATTTAGTTTAAGGCAACTAAGTGACACTAGTGATTACCTTCAAGTCGAAACAGTATGATTTAAATTCGAGTCTACTATCAAACCAATGCCTAAAGAATGAATGATTACATTATATCACTCAGAGTTCCATACAATATACATATATATCAAGTTAAAGAGAATGGAATAGTTTGTTTATTATGAAGTTACATAATTATTAGCTTCATACTATTAATTATTACTGCCGTTCAACTAATACAATTTAATCTTGAATAGATTCTGAATCGGATACTACTTATAAATGTCTCTTTCACATAGTAGTATGAGGAATAGTATGAGAAAAAATGATCAAAATAGAAAAAAAACTGAAGTAGCACTAGATGTGATACAGCTCAAACTCAAACTCTTGATAGAAGAACTAATTTAACAATCATCGGAACAATGAATTCATACCATTCGTTCAATGTACATACAAGTTAATAGTACTATTAGTTATTGTATAACAATCGCTGTTTAAAACCTTTATTCTACACCAACTTACATAGTATTTCTTATTAAACTAACTATATTCTTACTTACAGTGTTTATGTGTATAAACACAGAGAAAATACAGTCAGACAAATTTATTGTGATGACTACGCATTGGTTTTATGTGACGTAAGTGTTGCGTGTACAAGTGAGAGGAAAAACAGTGAGTTTGGCATTGAAGCCGAGTTGGTGAGTGTGGAGATTCCATCTACATGAGTTGGAAAACCTCAGTTCCAAACGAATGGTATAAACGGACTCTAGGACTATAGGTGAATCGATGGTGTATAAACATATTCTGGAACGGTTTCTCTCGACGTTGGTCTGCTCCTTCGTAGATGAGGCTCGACTCAGGTGTCCGGGCAATATTTCAGTGTCAATGAATAATCATAACTATATTCTTCTCCCTTCACTTAACTACCTATTCAAATGATACTCAAAAGCTGATTGTATATGTAAAAAAAACAATAAACTCAATGAAAAAAAATTCATAATACAATATGATATAAACTAACCATAATTATTATGTCGTGCCAAATCATTTCGACTAATAATCAAATCATGATCTTCATCAAGTTCCCAAAATTTACAATAAATAACATAGAAATGTTCATATGAAAAATATTGTGTCACCAAATTAATATCATCTTCAACTTCAAGACTGGCTAATACAGTGAGAAAATTACTTCGTCTTAATTCACCTAGAGAAATACGACCAGACCATGAAATATTTACATTGAAGAAGATACGTGCTACAACAGTTGCCACATAACGTGAATGAAAATCTTTTGCTGCTTCTAAAAATGCTAAGCCAGGATGACTTTCTAAAATGTCCTGATTAAGAGAAAGAAAATCAAATAATCAATAAAACATATCGGCTGCGAGGGGGGGTAAGAGGTCAGAAAATTAGGGAATCAGTCTAAATTTCATCTTCTACCTTAGTTTGTTGATACAAACGAGGTTTCTAATGGTGGTCTAACAATGATTGATTGATAATTTCAATGTGCAACAAACACTAATCTCCATAACTCTAATTGAAAATATCGTAAAATGTGCTCACTAGTGACTAGATTCGTGAGGAAATTCTTGGAGTTCTAGTGAGAAGATGTGACCAGTGGAGTTCAAACCTGTTAGGTTTAGGCAGTAACTACCAAAGACAAATGGGTGAGCTCGCGCAAAATCCCCAAATTGATCAGAGTTAGACATTAACACTGTCTGATGCCGGCCCAGTAGTTCAGAAGTTAGGCGTTCGCGCTCAAGACCGAAGGTCCTGGGTTCGAATGCTGCGAGGTGCAGGAATCGTGGATGTGCACTGATGATGAGACCCATATCAGGACGAAACAGCCGTCCAGTGTTTCCAGGTTTCTAATGATGGTCTAACAATGATTGATTGATGATTTCAATGTACAACAAACACTATTCTACATAACTCTAATCCAAAAAAAGCAAACTGGGAAGTTATGATCTAACTCAGATTAAAACATGTGTTATTCTGTACTTAAGGAAATAATATATTATCCTATATTATAAGAACATTAAAAATTTGCGAAATATTCCAATACTGGGGTGTCACACTATTAATTAAGAATATGCTTGAGGAAGAACGCCTCTATATCACTAAGAGATTTATTATGATACCTACCAATCGTTATATATACTTGCTACCAAATCTAATGTAACACTTTATTCAACAAATTGATTAAACTTTATTGATGAAATTATGATATAAATTTAGTACAGATCATAAGAATTGGAGATGCATTGGATATTCATCGATTGACAAAACAACGTATGCATTAAGTATCTTATAAAATGTTACAACTTAAATGTGCAAGGCAACTCCATGTGAGAAAAAAAATACATTACAAAATTTTCGTTCAATGGTAAAGTGAACATTATGATTTTTGAAATGATAGAAACTAAAAATTCTTCAAATTACTATCCTTACGCAATTAATTTTTCAAATATAAATTAAAAACAATGTAAGTTTATGTAGGGATTTTAAACTTCAGTCTTTTCATCGATAAAATCAACACAACATTACACAATTTCCTTGCATTGATTTGCCATTGAATAGTGATCAGTTTTAATACTTGTTTTTAACCCTAATTTGTATTGGTTGAGTCCTGCCGACCAAGTAGCAAGATAGCCACTAGTCTAAATGGCTCGGCATTGTCTTAATGTAAGGTGGTTAAGGGTAATTAATTACGGAAGCCCGAATTGAGATTTCGTTCAAGTTGAGACTCATCAGTAAAGCGCAACTGTTATCTTCGGGCCTAAACCCCCAAAGCTCAGCGACGATGTCTTAGACTGTGAAGATGGGTGACATGAACTAGAATCCCAATGTAAATCATCAATTCCCTCAACACTTCAAGTAAACTTTACTGACAAATGCCAACGGAAACAAAACCTAGGTCAAGAGTTTTTTGACGACCACTCTCAATCATCTCAAATACGTAGAGTGAAATAAAATATCTATATCTAATTAACTGCTTCAGTATTTATGTGTATAATCACAACAATCATAATCATAATCATAGTAACGAACTGAATAATGAAGTAAATACTGATATTATGCCTCTTTTTGTAAGTACTACAAAGATGATAGAACAATCCTTAATGAGAATTGTTTTTTAAAAAAAACATCTCACAGTACATGCATGATATTAGAGAAGTGAATATCTTCACTAGCAAAAGGAGATATAAAAGAAAAATGTTCATCGCATTCCCTTACTTGAATAAGTGTATTAAAATCAGATTGTACTAAAAAGGTTGCACGTCCACGTGTAAGCAGATGAACAAATTTCGAAGCTTCATCCGGACATGTATTTAGTGTACTGAAATACAAACAAAAAAAAAGCGAAAAAAAATTTCTCAAAGTATTTTAATAAACCAAATGAATGATAAAAGGTCAATCAATAGATGAAGTACTATTATTAAGTGTTATAAATTTACTCAATATGTTTTTTTTCAATTTAACAGGAAAATACAGCCATGAGAGTGGTAAAAGTGAATGATTTTACATGTATGATATTATTTGACTGATATGCTTGCCAAGTGATATGCTTGAATGCTATGACCAGTTCACCTTATTCGGTAAACGGAACGAAACAATGAGTCAATGACACGATAGGTTATTCTAATCCATTTGTCTCAGCACCGGCTAACTAGATCAAGAAGTCTTGATAAGGCGTAGAGAGTGTATTCTAAAAGTAGCCAGAAAATACGAGCTGACTAAGCATAAAAATCAAGTTTATTTATACAATGATAGCAACACCCTTGGGAGAGCCACAAAACAGCGTACTAAAAAATCCGTCAACCAATGATTTCCGAGTAGGAAGTGTAAGCTGTAGGTCAACTAAGCGTCTCTTGGCGCCAAAACATAGAAATTCCAAAAATCAGATTAAAATTACAAATTAGGACCTTTTCCAAGTGAGTTCTGGGGATCTAATGTCCCCAACGTTGACACATACATGTAGAGGATTCATTTTAACTACCCATTAAGGATGGAGATGATTCTCATAATTCAGAAAATTTTATGTTCTCTGAGCTCAATGGTTTGATTGAAAAGAGTGTTCATTAGCATAATGAACAATATCATCAGTGCTAGAAAAATAACGAAAATTAGGAAAGTTACCTAAACCAACTATCAAAAACCTACTATCAAACTTCAACTACAATGTTAATAAACTGTCCAGTTCAGTGTATAATACATATTCCGCAAAGTTAATACGATTAGATTAGATTAATAAATTGTTCATCTGACAATAACAATCGGTCAAACTTGTTTTCTCAACGATTTCTTCTTTTTTTTAAAAAAAAGAATCTAATACATAATAATAATAAAGTAGATGAAATAGAAAAATGATTGGAATACTAATTTATTTCTACTTTCTAACGATACTTACCGTATTACAACAATTTTTCTCAAAAATATGATAGATTTTTTTATTTTAAGTGAATGTCTATTTCTTCTGAAACCATGAATCGACCAATGTTAGACCACCATTAGGAACCTGGATACACTGGACGGCCGTTTCGTCCTGGTACGGGACTCCTCAGCAGTGCACATCCACGACTCCTGCACCCCGCAGGATTCGAACCCAGGACCTTCGGTATTGTGCGCGAACGCCCTAACCGTTAGAACACTGAGCCGGTATCTAACGGTGTTAATGTTTAACTTGATCAAAATCACGGAGTTGCGCAACCTCATACACAGTCTTCGGTAGACACTGCCTACACCCGAACAGGTTGAACTTCACTAGTCACGTCTTCCCACAAAAAATGTGTAACTTAACAATCTTCACAACCCCGTAATGTGAATGTCTATTGTTAAACATCATAACTTATTGAATATGTACATGTATATTTAAGTACTTAGCATTGAATTACGCTATCGATTATGTAAGAATTAACAATCTAACCCACTTGCTCACTTAAACTGAAATAAATAAATTGAAGTTCGAATAATATATAATCTAATGGTTGAAAATGGAATGTTTTATCACCACAAACTCATCACTTGTAAAAAAAAACAAACAGAAAATTGAACGATTTTCTAATTTGCAACTTATCCTGGATTATATCCAAAGCATTAAATTTTAATGGGTTATTATTATTCAGGCGTCATAAATTTGATCCTTGTTCATAATTCCAATTTTATTATATCTATAATATAATAATCTTATTTTACATAATAATCACTGATAAATGTCAATCTTTGACTTGATTAAATGATCAATTTCAAATTGGACTTTGTAATACGATAGATAATACGAGGGATTATCTTGAAAATTGAGTATAAACTACTTCTAATCTTTTTTTACATAGTCCAAAGTAATCTCAAATGAGATATTTTGAGTTAGTGGCGCATAGATAACATCAAGAATAACTAACTAGACTAACACAACTATTACACATAAACACATTGTCAATGTTTTTAGAAAATAGCCGAATTATGAAACTTTGAATAAACTTCAATGAGGGAAATTGGTTGTGGAAAATTCAATTGAACGCGTTTAAAATAGACGTTTTAGTTAGTTAGTTATAATGAGAAAAAAACTCATCTGCAACGACTGTATTCAATACAAAGTCGATTATTTTTCTTCGTAAAATTATAATATTGATAATCTTACTGTATTAAAATATACAGCCAAACAAACAACACTACTACTATTCAAATTAATTGTATCCTTTATATAAAAAGTAGTTCATTTTTCAAAAAAAAATTCAACTGTAATTATTCCTCCTTTTTATTGGCTAAACAACACCACTGTTGAAAGCCATGTGAGAAACACCTGGATAGGTATTTTGTTCATGAGCATCGTGAGCATCCATGACGCATCAGGTGTCAAACCCACAACCTAAGCTGGTTTAGTTAAGTTTAGTTTGTGGCTGAAACTATGAAGAATTGTACAAGAATTTGCACAACTCTCCTCTCCATCACACAAAAATTTAATTCAATCAATATGTATGGAAAAGTATAAATAACAATGCGTGCACATGACGCGTAAGCTGCAACAATAATATCGACAACAATAACACAAAAAATAACATTGATATAATTAAGATTGATTGTAAACAAATCAAGCTATTCTCAATATACTTTAATGTGTTACACGGTTTTTTGGTTTGTTTGGTTGTTAACATATTTAGTACCAACAGAATATTGATTTCGAGAATTCAATGTAATGTTAACAAAATATGTAACAAGTAATAAGTTTTTGTATTGACAAAAAAAAACATTAGTAGTAAATAAAGCAAAGAATTATGTGAATGCGAAGATCAAGGAATATGTTATCTATTTTTATTTTTTCCTTAACAAATAACGAGAAAACTTGTTTAACTTACTGAGACCATGATTTTAATAAGTTTGACAAAGTGACTGGTTGCCGATCTGGTGTACCACCAGCATTCATATAGATTGCATGTTTCCAATAAAGTGGACAATTGAATATCTAAAGATATTAAAAATAAATTATGTATTTTCGAGATGAAAAAATGAGATTTGATAAAAGTGTAAAAGTGTTCAGTTAGTGGCTAATAGTTGACATTATGAGATGCAATGACTAGATTGTATGTTGATGTTTTGACTGAAGTTTAACCGGTGTTCGTTGACAGATAGGCATGTTATGCGGATCGCTTCGATATAGCCATTATGACATAAGTTTATACAGAATGAATACCAACAAAGACCAATCAAATTTCAATCAACATACCAACAATAGAATAATCTAAACCAATTAACCATGGAAACAAAAAAGTAACTGAAGGCATATGTAAATCATCATAGCTTATACTACGGATTACTCTTAGTTAAACAACCACTGAAAACTCGGGAGCACTGGAGAGTGGTCTCGCCCATTATTCACGACCCATTATCACAGGAGATCGGATTCAGGACATTTAGGTCTTACGGAGAGTAAGAATGTATATTATTGAGAAGTCTTATACTAGGATAAAACAACTATCCTGCTTCCTGCTTTTCAATGAGTATTTAACTAAGATCATCAGTCTATGGTGTTAACTATGAAAATGAAACTGTCAATCATTCGTTACCTTTGCAACTTGTCCAAAACATGAATGAGGTATTAACGGATCGGAAGTTTTCCCTGAATTTAACGATGAATCAATAAGTTGGTTAAGTTCTCGTTTAACACGTTCTAATTCAGCATTAATTTCCTCATTCGACATCCGTGTAGTACCAAATGGAAAATGAAATGATGGCAATGCTTTAGGTACTTGAACTGGAGAAGGAAAAATAGTAGATGCTTTGTTTTGAACATGAGAAATAGAATCTATACGATTCGATACATTTTCCTTACTTATTAAAGATGTGACATCTTCAACAACACCACCATCAGAATTGATAAGATTTTGTGAATGTGAAGAATGAATACGTTGGTGTTTATTATCATGAGATTGTTGATGTGATACTGCATCAACATCGGATTTATTACTTTCAACAGGATATTTATTTGTTGATGATGTTGAAACACTTGTAGGAGTGTGTTGTTTTGATACATTTCGATCATTTGTTAATTGAGAAGTTGTTTTATTTACTTTAATTTTACTAGTATCATCAATCTCTGTATCATGATTTAATAGTTTATTGGTAGTTGCAGTAGTAGTAGTGGTAGTAGTAGTAGTAGAAGTAGACGTAGTAATAATAGTAGTCTGAGATGAAAGTTTTGCTTCATTATTTATACTTGCAGAATTCGCTGTAAGTTTTGGACGAATAGTTATAATTGCATCCTCGGTTTTAGATTCGTTTTCAGATGTTACATCATTTACCGTATGTGGTTGTTCCACAGAACTCTGAAAAAATCAAACATTACAAGAAGAATTAATTAATACTCAACTAAAAGAAACTGACATGTTATGCAAATTCCTCACAAGAAAAATGACGTTTAAAGCTTTCTACTATATAAACCTGGGAAGTGAAAAACACTGAATCGAAGCAAACATACAGATTTGAGTATTTATTAAGTCAAAATTGAGTAACGTTATTTCCATATCAATATGATCTCAAAAAATAATCGATCAAATTTCTTAAACAGTAATTTTGAAGCAGGAAATTAATCAGGCTGATGTGAATATTTGATTTCGTAACTAGTAGTGTATTAAAATAAATAGCAGTTTTCTAGCAATGGCAAACGTATTTACCTCAAAAAATAGTAAAATTATTCCTTCTTTAAGCATAAGAATAGAAGAGTGTTTAATTTAATAAAATCACCCAAGAAGAGTATGGAATTTAAAATGTCACACTAAACAAAAGTTAAATCAATATAGTGATCATTGAATCTTAAGTGAAACTGTCATAATAGCATGTTAATTAACAATAGACCAAGATAAAATCTAAGTTTGGGTAAAAAAAAAATTTGTCAAGTAAAATAAATTCACTATTATAATACATGAATTTGCATTACGGGGTTGTGAAGATTGTTTAAATACACTAATTCCTTAAACTGAATCAACAAGGTAAAATCTTACATAAATCTACCTCTAGTTTAAAAGTACCAATACTTACTTTTCACATAGAAAGAAGAAATTAACAAGTAGAACATTAAGTGAGTTCAACTCTCACTATACTAAGCGAAAAATAAACTGCCCAATATTGCATGACCTTCAAAGATTATCCACCCATAAGTCCATGATGTAAACTACAAAATTCAATAATTTTAACAAACCTTCTGAATTAATAAAATTAATGTCGATAATAGTACCGTGTTGAAAATAAGAAACAATGTATCAGAAGGAACAATTTCAATCCATTGTTTAAAGTTTAAAGGAAAAGAAAAGATGAGTACACAACCATGAACTTGCATTATTGCAAACGTCTCTTGGTTTATATAAATTTCATTAGACAGTAAATGTGTTTTGTGACCAAAGAAAGAAAGAAAATGTTCACTTCCCTATATGACTCACTGGCTACACAATTATAACTTCAAACAACTAAGTTGTATATTCGAATCCTCCTGCACCTATTTCAGGTTGAAAACTACTGGGTAGTATCACTAGTCCTCATACCATGTGGCTTGCAGTCAAAGACAATGAGCCTATATGAAAAGATGATCGAGTAAATCGATTAACTAAATTGACTGCATTCGTTGCTGTCATTTCAGTGTAAAAATGATACATTGAGATATGCATTGACTAGACAAGCGTACCACTCATTCCAAACTGCTTCACAGTCGATGGATAGATGGATATTTACAATCTTTGATTTATTGCTCTACACATAAATGACTTCATAGTTTCACCGTTGCTTGAATGAAATTTATGAGAGAATACAATTAACCTCCATATGTACCATCAGAGTAAATATCATGGGAATTCTATTAAAAATAACTCCCGTATGAAAGGAGATCTAGTATCACTTCTATTCAATATTTGATAAAATTAATGTTTCCATTAAAGACTTCAAAAACCACTAACTAACTAAAGCGCGTGACGCTCACAAATCATTAGGACGGAAGAGATATTGTACTGTTTTACTCCTTACTTGAAGAAGTAAACATTTGTCAAACCTTAAAAATATGCCCTATCGAAGTGTTGGCATGTAAAAAAAAGACTGAAATTAGCATGGAACTTATATCGGTTAAATGAAACCAGTATTGTCTACTATTATTGTTTGTTTGTATGATAAATATGAAAAGTTAATTGAGGACAAAACGCAAAAACACAATTACTTTTGTAAATTAACGGAAATTGCAAATAGTAGAATGAAATAAGGAAACATTTAAAACATAGAGTGATTAGTAAAAGGTAAGTAATCAGTCAAGTGTACTTTCTAGCTTATACCATAGAGAAAACTAATCGATCAGTGTAAGGTTAATAGATAGATAGAAAGGAATTTACTGATAGTATCAAGCTGCGTTTTTTTGTGTGTGTGTATATTTATGTGTATTTTTGTATGTATGCTGTGTGCTTGCTGTCACAATGTGTGCTACAACTATGACATTACCGATTCGAAATTGATCGAAAGATCGTTATTATTACTAGTTCACATAAAGTAACAACTTTTTAAAACAAGGCAAGCATAGATTACACAGGTAAATAATAGAACATAAAGAGCCTACAAAGATATTGATTTAGCTTGAGAAAACCAAGTTTTTATAAGCGCAAAAAAAATAAAACTATTCGAATTGTAAAACTGAATAGTTTACATATTTATGACCAAAATTAAAGTCGTGATGATTTCCCCAAAGTGATTCAAACTTTTAATAAGCTTTTTTCAAAAATCTTGTATATTATTCAATCACTAAAGTAAAACTTCTGCATTACACTTAGATAATGGTAATTGATAATATCAAAACCGAAAAAAAAACTATTATTTCAAGCTTACTTCTAAATTGCACAATCGATCAGATTAGATTGATTTTTAATTTTATTTTTATTTTTTTTAGTATTTTGAAATGTATACAGTGTGTACACAGTACAAAATACACTAACAAGGTAAACAATTCTATAAATCAAAAACAGACATAAACAATATTCTGCAAGGAAAAGAAAGCAGTTTGCTGCATTCCATTTAGGGAAAAAAATGAAATAGAATTTGTTAAATCAAATGAAAGCGTTATCATCGATCAAGTTTAAATAATAATTTATTTATAGATAACATAGATTGATTTTAGTTTTGATTTCTTTTTTTTACTTTTTTCTATACAATTACTCTTGAGATTTAACACATTAACATGGCAGGTAAGAGTAGAAGATATTTATAGGTTACTAGTATTCGATCATAGATATCTTAGAAGCATTGCTTGTGTATTGTGGGATAGCCAAGTAAGCAATGCTGTTGTTAGGAAACGGATGCTGGGTAAGAATGGCAGATCAATTTATGAAGTAATGAAACTTCATCAGTTGAGATGGTTGGGACATGTGTTATGAATGACCAACCACTGACTGCCTCGACGAGCAATGTTTTGTGATGTAAATGTAGATTGGAAGAAACCTAGGGGCGGCCAAACCAAAACATGGCAGAAATCCATGAAGTCAGTGACGAGTGGACTGAGTCATGTTGGTAGATGTAGACTACCTGATCGAGGTCCGCGAGACGAAAGTCACCGATGGTTAGAGACCTTGAATGACATGGCTCAAAATCGTTTGCAATGGTGCAGGTGTATTTGTTTTTTTGTGTTCTCTCAAATCCTAATCTTCTCTATTCGTCAACACCTATACCTTTGTCCTTCTAAACTTATCTCACTGAATTATACTTCTTGAATATTACCTTCAAATCCTAATCTTCTCCATTAGCAGTAATTCTTCTACTATCTCTACCACTCTGGGATTTGAATTGACAATTACGTCTCAGTGCTAATGTGGTACGGCAACATGAACTGATGTACTTACGTACGAAGTTCTACGTTGTAACTGACTGACTGACACATTAACAAAGCAACAAACTGATATGGTGATCAGTAGATTTTAGTCAAACCCCTGTTGATCAAGAAATGATCATATCGACTTCTGAATAAATGATTCGATTAATTGTTTAAAAGAAAACTAGCAAATGGTTAGTTTTAGTAGGCCAATTTTATCCCACTGAATGTTCATAAATAAGGTATGCGTATGTGCGTGTATGCATGTATATAGTTGTGTTTAATGATTACTTTTCATTGATTCTATTTCATAGATTAGTTATATAAGCTATGATATTTTTACCAACATAGTTGCATAACCAGTAAGTTGATTTTGAAAAAGATAAAACTAAAACTCTAACTAAAATATCAGTATATCCACAGAAGAAAAAAAAACTCAATATGAACTACATTTAACTTGTTTACTGAAAGTTTATATTGGATTACAAATTATCAATCAGTCAGTCAGTCAGTTACAGCGTAGAACTTCGTAAATACATACATCAGTTCACGTTGCCATACCACATTAGCGCAGAGACGCAACTGTCAGTTAAAACCCCATAAAAAGTAGAGATAGTAGAAATATTAGCGTTTATGGAGAAGATTAGGGTTCAAAGATATTATTGCAAATTATGGAGATCATAAATGTTTACAACTAATTCAATCCAGTTTACAAAAGGTATACATCGACTTTACAAAATCTTCAATAATAGTAATAATGAGGAAAAATAGTTTCAACTATGTTATAATTCTGCATGAAAAGGAAATCAGATTTTATTTTAATTAAGACAGGATTGGATAAATGTTAATCGAATAAAAATTAATAATATAATGATCAAATGACACTTGAACTCTTTTTCTTTCGAATAATATTATTAGATTTGATAACTAGTAAATTATACAGATAATAATGATCAGGAGAATAATATTGAAGGCATAGACTAAATGAGATGCTTTGTATAACTAAGGTTGATTTGAAAATATTATATCAAATAAAAGCTTAGAATTATTGACTTGGGAATATTTAATCACGAAGCTAACAGAGTATCTTATACAACTTGAATTAATAATTGACAATGTCATAAAACTAATAACTTAAATTTTCTTGACAATCATATAGCTAAAAAATAGGCATCATCATCATCAACATAGAGCCTAGCACAGACAAGAGTTGGTTGAAGTTGCCAAAACAGAATCAGCACAACTAGATGAAAAAACGAAAGATATAGAAAAAGTGCGGTGGTGGTAGTAGTAGTAGTAGTAGTAGTAGTAGTAGTAGTAGTAGTAGTAGTAGTAGTAGTAGTAGTAGTAGTAGTAGTAGTAGTAGTAGTAGTAGTAGTAATAATGAGGAAGGCTGAACGAGGAGAATTCGACTTGAAAAGTAGGAATAAAAATATTATGTTTAGAAAATGATATTGAAACTCAACATCTAAAGAAAAATAGGGAATGAATACATCTGGGCAAGTGTGATTGATTCTAAACCATGTCACTTAACTTTTGTAACCACTAGTCATGGTTATTAAGTGAACGATAAAAAGGTAGTTTACATTTATCAGCATGGTTCACACAAATAATCAGTGATTTCATGAACTGATGCTCCATTTTGGTTTGGTTGCCTACTTCTACGCTCACAAATATTGCTCACCGAGCAAGGTGATGTTTAAACATATGAAATACACGTTTCGTCCAACTCAGTTGATGAAGGTTCACTAACTAAATGGTCAGCCGACTTTCTACGTCTCCTAAGTACTATATGTTTCACTTCAATCTTGTTTATTCGGGCGTACTACAAGACGCGAGCAATGTCTTGAAGGCCTCTATTATCAAAAGCCATTCTATGCACATGTTTCACAACCACTAACAGAAGTAAACAGTTGGCTGAAATGTATCATGCTAAGTGCATAATATCACACTAGACCTAAATTACCAAGCATAGTTACTTCTCTGAGAGAATTTTTTGTCCTTATTGAGCCTTTCGATAAAATCAATATAATTTAACTAATTAATACAAAGAAAGTATTCTAATCAAAAAAAAACTAAGCACAAAAAGCGTAAAAAGTATGGAGAGGAATAGTGCAACTAAGAGAAAGTCACTTCATTATGTCTACAATATTATATAACTTTAATAGAAACAAGTGAAACGAAAATTAATGTAGACATATTTGCTTACTTCATTGTTGTATCCGATTCGTAAAGAATCCGTAGGTGATAATGGTAAATTATTTTCACAAACAGTTATATCATTACAAGATTTAAATGATGCATCTTGAATAGATAGATTAGAATAAGGTTTATCGGATTCAATTTTAACAGATTTAGCTAAATCAACATCTTTTTCACTGATATCAATAGATGGTAATCGTTTTTCAACAATATTCCTATCTGGTGGTACTGAAGATGGACTTAATGATGGTGTTATATTAGTAGTAATCGGAGATACAGGAGTTGAAGTTGGAGTAATAGTTGCAGATACTGTACTACTAATCTTTTCAACCAATCCACATTTAGAATCCAATGGTTTTGAACGTTGTACAGGATGAAAATGATGTACAGTTGTGGATGTGGTTGTTTTTAATGGAGGAGTAGATGAGGTCGAAGTTGGTGATGAGGCAGGAGGATATGAAGATCTGGCAATATGAGCAGCGTGTACAGGGTGATTAGGACTAGCTGCAGGAAGTGGTAAATCTGGTGGTCCCCATGACAAGTGGGCAGGAGATACTGCACCATGAGTATCATTATTAGTCAGAACAGAATGAGCGCCAGTAGTAATAGATTTACCGGTAGCAGCAAATATCTCTGACGCTGGAACACAATGACTCATGTGCACACCTGCAGGACAGAACCTAGAGGTTGCACGTTCGCCACCAGATGGACTTATTAGGGGGGTAACAGCATTTGTGGTTAAAGTAGCTTTAGGGCAACGCTGACAAACATGAACTGCACGTTGCCATGCCAGATCAACAGAACATGTCTGATATACCTGAACACGTGAAATAAGGACCAAACTAGGTGTTCCAACAAGAACTGGCATGTGAATGTTTCAAATGGAATATAAATGTGAAATCAGTGTAGAAACGCTTGATTAAATAGTATCCGATAAACACTAAGTTTTATATTGAACATATATCATCCTCTGAATGATTACAGAAACATCACATAAATATCCCGACTTGATTTTAAAGATCCAGTTAATATTGATAATCTGATATTGATCGTAAAAATTATTCCATCAAAGAACATTTTTTAAACATACTGAACATACATGTAACAGTAAATTATGCACAACAACAAATAACTATACACCTCCACGTTTAGTTGAATAAAATAAAAATATGAATATAAAAATCAAAATCGAATATAATCGATCCAGAAGTAAGACATGCAATAAAAACGCATCTAAAGAATGTGAAAGGTACAGTTTTAATGGAGCCATTACTACTGACTGCATGACTGACAAACACCCAGACATAAAATACAAACACACAAACAACAATGTTATGGCCACAGAGGAGGCAAGGTTTGCACACACGAATGATCGATCAAAGGGTCATATATATATAGGTCCAAATAAACACTGCATACATACAACATTTTTGTATCTGTCTACCATCATCGCTGGTTACCCCAGCAGATGAATTAATTTACCAACCAAACAAGAGGAAAAAATCTACAAGTGAACCAATTGCTTAAAACACCATAGTAACCCACCGTATAACAAATTAACGTAATAATCACAGCACCGTTAGATTAGAATATTTTCAATTAATTCATTTAATCTAAATAAACTATCGTATGGTGAAGGCTCGCGTGTTCACAATAATAAAAACACTTTCAAATCGATGAAAAACCATAACTAACAGTCGATATATTAATTATTTGAATTAAACTGTAAGTAAATTAAGAAGTAATTAAAAGGAGAAGACAGAAAGAAATAAGAACTCTGTTATTATTGATTGTGGATGCGATTATGACACAAAATATTAATTACCTTCAGAATTACTTAGTTAACGTAAGAAATCCTTAGATGTAATAAAATATACACAAAAATGCTTATTTCTTAATGATTTTGCTTAAAAACAGTGGGCTACAATATGACAGCAAAACACACACACACCGCGAAAAAAAATCGAAAAGCATAATGTTATTTCAATAGTTTAAGGATTCAGTTAGACAATGTACAAATAATAACAGGACATATATGCTTATAAGCATAAAAATGCAACACTATATCAAATAAGCCAGACCTTATCTTACACATATTTTAATCCAAAACTCAATTTCTACAACTCCGCAATATTAGTGATTTCTATCATTATGAAATGAACCTTTGATACAATGGGCAAGTACTGAACCTAACAATCAGATATATGTATCTTGACCTAACTGGAGAGTGAGTGACCACCAACAAACTAACTTTCTCTAATCACCTATGCATGCTTATTTTGCATAATTATTTTCTACATAAACATTGGATCATCGCGAATGAATCAACCTTATTACACAGCTTCTCTTCTCATTATTTCATCTTGCATAGGAGAATCTTCAAAGCGTTATGAACTAGTCGTTGAGTTTAACCAGTTGTAGCATAGATTCTGTTTCATATTAGAAGAATCTCTCTTCATCAATCATAACTCTAATTCACAACAACCTTAAGGTATAATTATTTTGAATTTTTCGTACACATTGGTTGGTTACTGAGTTTTATGCTTTTGTTTAACTACTAAAATGAAATAAAAAAAGCGAGATCTTGACATCGACTGACTGATTTACTGAAAACTCAATTTCGAAGATAACAAACATATTATTGATAATATGCAAAAGATAAATGAGGTTGTATTAACGTGACAGACAAAATGAATTGAACACAACATAAAGAAAGATCTCAGTAGAAAAAAAACTAAAAATTAGAATATTTTTTGGAAAGTAGTCAACAGTATAAACATATGAAAGTGCTTTCCTCTACACTTTTGACACTCTCACTTTTAATAGTTTACTTAAACCGACGATAGTTTACAGAGGAACCAGAGATGAGAATAAAACGGAATCACACATTAAAAACTACTATGTAGTCAAATTTGAATATTTGATTGTTTGGTTTAAGCAATCAATTGGGAATGTTGTATGTTATTTACCATACATCCCTCTGAAACCTTTTAAATGTTCTTCAACCTCAAGTAAAATGAGCGTTCAAGCATGAATGAACCTTAATACGATAAACCGGGTTAGACAAAGTGCTAATAAGCAAAAATTAGATATTATGCAACTCCAACCTACAGCTCAATTGTTAAAAGACGAATTTCTTTTTAGCTATTATGCTAATACTCTACTACCGATATTACCACTAACAATAGAAATAAGCATAACAATAAAGTTGGTATCATGAAATCACTAGATAGGAAGCTATGATGTACATTTTTCCTCAATAATTACACACTTCTTGGTTGATAATTACTGTTATTATCCTGACACTGATCAATACGCACAGACAACATTTTGGTGACCAAACATAACGGTGACGAGAAAACAATTTTAATTCAAAACTAACTGGAGAAAGAACAAAAGACTAGTTACCATCAATCCAGGATTAAGATCGTTATTTCATTTCAAACATACATTGAAAACAACAGAGCATCATATCAATAACTGAAAAATAACAATTATACACGAATAAACTAAAAGTGGCTGTGAGTACGGCTGTCTGTAAATAATATAACCTGACAATAAAATAAGAATAGCAAAAATCGTATATTGAAATTTTATGGGGTCAATGAAATGCTTATGATAAAAAGAATGTAGATACATTGTTATCGAGTTATTTAATAACTCTATACAATAAGGTTATATACAATAATAACCTATAAATTGATTCTTTGAGTTATCATCACATTAAACTTCGCGTTAGGATAGAACAGTTACTACTTTGATGAAATGGTTGTATTTGCCTAAATAGTGTGTTGATCTTCAAGATTAATTAAGACTTTACTGTTTTTTTTTATTATGAACAAAAAGTTAACCATATGAATTAAAACTTTACTCATCGGATCTTATTTGATGTGAGAATATGTGTAGTAAATTGCTGAGAATCATTAAAAACAAACTGAATTCATGTTGGAAATGGAGTTTTTTTTACGTGCTTTTTAATAAGTGCTTCTTTATAGAAACACACTAAAGATTTATGAGCACCTACAGTTTTTTGAAAATCAAAATATTAAGAATTACTCAAACCCCAAACTTTAGTGCTGACTGGATCCTATGGATTATGTAACATTCTACTCAGACTGAGAAGCTATGTTACATGGGCTCGAATCGCACAGGAAATATCAGTTTCGCTAAGATTGTAAGTATGCTTTACTGATGCCTGTACCAATTAGCACGCAATTTAGATCCAGGGTATCCTGACAATAACTTGGAGTTACCTGTATCTTTCACCCAAATAATTAGCAATAAAAATAAATCATCAATTGCTTCACAAGTACAGGCTGTACAAATTATGAATTAGTTAGCATTTAAAAAGCAATGTAAACTTGGATGTTTAGAAAGGTGTTTAGGTCTTAGGATGGACTAAATTCTACCGATCAAGTTACAATATGGCTATACATTAGTCTAAATGATTCAACATTATGGTGCATTATATCTTGATTTTATGTGGCCTAAAGCGATTGGAAAAAAAATTCTAGACTCAAGTTCCATACAAATTGAAACTTGTCAAAAAATGTTTATCTGCAACATTGAAGGAACTGATGCCCTACTGTAAAACTGCTTCTTTACATCACAAATTGTCCGAGTGAAAGATAAAAACACTCAGTGAATAGAACAGGGTTTTGTAAAATTTACAAATATATTTATTATTCATTTATTTAATATTATAATTATATATACAAAGAAGCACCTGAATATTTATGCACCACGCAAATCACTGAATTTGTGCGTGGGCTGGGATAGTGTTCGCATGCCAAAACAAAAGCATGGGGGTACGAAACTTGAAGCCCACGTGCCAAAATGGCTTGAAAACAGGGTTTTCTAACTTCCCTCGGTGGATCCCTTGTATTTACCAACTCAGTTTAGGTGCAAGACATTCGCTTCTCATCCTCGTAATTTCGTAAACAACACCACCACCGCGAGAAGGCAGTGAGTAAAGCTTACGTAGCAATAGCTTTATACGTGTGACCATATATATTAGTTAATACTGACGGGTTAATCAAAAATGTACGATGTATTACATTAAAAATAATTCAAAAACGACCATAATTGTCGGTGAGATGATAGAACAAAGAACATTCTACAGATATTGATGATGTACACTTGACTGTTCTGTATCTACCTACTTTTTTTAATTATCTCCATCTAGTTCCTTTATGTGCTTTTCGCTTGCTATTGTTGTGAACTGTTCTTTCCCCTACACTATTATTATAAAGTTTCAGTGTAATCGGTCAAAAATATACGATTAGTACAAATGACAGAGCGTCAAACAACAATGATCTATGTGAATATATGAATTGTGAATACAAATATAATTACAGTATGAAACATTGATTTTTGCTAATATGATGTTGTGGAGATTGTTGAGTTACTTATTTAAATCATGAATCGATTTTTTATGTCAACAATCTACACTTAAAAACGAGAACATAGCAGTAGATGAAATGTGTCAATCGAATATACACTAATCTTACTTTACAACAAACTGTTAAACAATAATTTATATTAACTGTTTTATTCTCTTTCTCTGATAATATGATCTGATCAACAAACAATTGTTAAATGTCAACGGATTACTGATAAATGTAATTCGTTAAAGAAATGTAAGTCGTGTTTCCTGTCTAATTTATTTAGTTATCGGCTCTATTCAAGCCACGGCATTAGAGTAGTCGAAAATTTTTCAAATACATCTTTACACTAAATGAAATGTATTACACAAGGAAACGAGAAACAATAACTTTATGTTAACCATAGTTGACATCTGATCGTATAATCTATAGGATTTTGGTTGTTCGACGAGATCAGTTGTTTATCTTTTAGATCAAGATATAAGATAAAATGCTGAACATTTTTAAAACCATTTATTGGGTTAAGTTAACACTAAACCAAA